TCCAAAGCCAGGAGCATATCTGGCCATGTTCATTGCTCAAGCAAAGCCAGCAACAGACTACATGAGCTGCAAACACAGTTGAACCTCCCCCAGCACACGCTCATAACAGATGTAAAAACAAGGCGGAACTATACGTTCTACATGCTCCAGCGGCCGGTGGAGCGGAGCAGCGCAGCGCTGTGCAGATTATGGCACAGGACTCTAACATGGGTAAAGCTCCAACAATCATCTATCCAAATGAGTGGGGGTTAGCATCACACATGCTCACTGTTCTTAGTCCTTTTGAGGAGGTCACACGGGCCCTCTCAAAACACAGCGCCTCCATCTCTGAGGTCATCCCCCTCCTGCATGGCCTAGGCTCCATCATAGGTCTCTGCATGCTGGTGAGGAATCTGAGGATGAATCTGATCAGTTCATGGCTGGTGATGATGATCAGGATGCCACAGTGGGGCTGGGACAAGATGTTAAATGCTCCGTACTTGTATAGCGCCTTTCTAGTCTTTTCGACCACTTACACTACATCTGCATTCACCAGTCACACACATTCATACACTGAGCCTAAGTGCTCAAACGGAAACTAACATTCACTCATACACTGGCGGAATAGGGGGCAGTATCTTGCCCAAGGACACTTTGACACGCAACCAGGGGGAGCCAGGGATTGAACCGCCGACCTTCCAATTAACGGCCAACCCGCTCTACCTCCTGAGCCACAGCCGCCCCAGCTGAGTCCAGGGAAAGAACTAAAATGGTGTTTCGAACCAATTTTTGCAAACTCCACATTTCTGCTTGCCACTCTCCTTGACCCCAGATATAAGGCTAGCTGTTTTCCAAACAGTGTTGATGTGGAGGCACTGAAGAGGACATTACTCCTCAGGATGGAGCTCTGTGACCTCGTGGCTACACCTGCAAGAAACACAGAAGAGACACCTGCCACCAGCAGCACTTCAGTCTTGTCTTTCCTGCAGAAAAAGAAATCGGCTATTCCAATGAGGACACATTTACCATCAGGTGATGTGGAGGCCTACCTGGCAGATGGGGACATCAGTCCTACCAATGACGCAGTGAAATACTGGTCGGGCAAGCTTCAGTGCTGGCCCAATCTTACACGCTTTGCACTGCAGCATCTCAGTTGTCCACCTACAAGTGTCCAGTCTGAGCGTGTTTTTAGCACACCTGGAAAAGTGGTCAGTCCACAGCGTGCAAACTTGGACCCTAGCCATGTGGAACAACTGGTCTTCATTAAAGTCAATGCAGATCTGAAAAACGGCGTCGGAATATTTGATCCGTAAAACACAGTCCCCTCCGACCCCCCCCTCTCACTCTCACTCTCACACACACACACACACACACACACACACACACACACACACACACACACACACATATACCTGGTGTGGAAATAAAAAATAAAAAAAAGAATCCAAAAAAATAGAAATCACACTGATCATAAAAAAAATTATGTTGAGTATGAAAACTCTTGTTCATTACATTTTACTTCATAATTGCAACCGCATGTGTTGTATTCATTGTTGCAAAACTTGTTCTGTATATAGTTGATGCTGTCATGTAAATAGTTTTCTAATCAGCAGTAAATATAACAATTTCTGATCAACCCATATCAATTGCATGCTTAAAATAACATACCAGTTAAAGCCCCGCCCAATTTAATTGCTATTTTTTTGATTGATATTGCAGTACTAGAGGGAATTATCATAATTATTACATAATTATTCTAATTTTAGTTGAACTAAACAAAGATGAGTCAGTGGGCCAATATGATGTGTGGGCCAGGACATCTCTGCAGCACCAGGATATTTAATTTAAAATGGTATTTTGACACACATTTTGGCTTTAACAAATATTGCACCTCCTTTCTGTGAACAGAAAAAAGCAATACAACCAATTGTGTGTTGTTTTGGTCTTTTAATTTGGATGAAGAGGTTTTAGAAAGTGATCTCAGAACTCTATTATAAATGGAACCCCATTTGACATCCATCCATCCATCCATCGTCAACCGCTGTCGCGGGGGGCTGGAGCCAGTCCCAGCTGACATGGGCGAAAGGCCCCATTTGACATGTTAATGGCATTTTCAGATTCTGCATGAAAGTAGTTAGAGCAGCAATAAAGGAATGAAGGGAGCTTCTTTAGACTTGCTTTTTATCTTTGTGTGTGTGTGTGAGGGGGGTGCATGAATTCAGTGCCCTTGTACAGGCCTACATAAATACATAATACAGACCTGAATCTAGGCAATGTGGCAAATAAACATAGCACAGGGAGACAACGGGGATGGTGCTTATCAGTGCCATTGTTGCTTTATTTATTAAGTGTGTAGATGAGCCAGGTTGTAGTTGAGTAAAGGTCCCAAGGTAACAACCGACACAGTCATCCTCTCCATTGTCCCTTCATATATAGACAGTGTTCCCATGATGCATGAATCCAGGTCAGGTAGATCATGCATGCAAACTGAGAATAACATGCACGTAAGCAATCAGGTTACTGTCGACATTCTCCAGTAAGCTTATTTCTTAAATGTAGGACCCTATGAAATCTGTTTTTTTTATTTGTTTTTTTTTTTTGTACATTTTGTCATCAGAGTGTGTAATCATGTTGTGAATAAAATTTTAACAATTCAATTAGAAATATAAAAAATTACCCGGATGTGTTGCCAAGATGGGGAGAGTGTCACGTGTGTGCGCAAAGCAGGAGAGAGCCCAAATGCACAACACTGAGAGCAGAGGTCTAGTTCCTGGGTTTATTAATCCAAAATACACCAGGCATGAACAAAACTCACAGGTACAGGAAAGTGGTCGGTTCGGTCAGGATCTGGTGTGAATTCATGTTCTGTGTTCTTCTTTACATCCAAACGGTCTCACACAGAGTGTTTGTTTGGAGTAAAGCAGCCGTCCTCCTGATCAACCCTGAGCTCCATCAGAGTCTTAACGTGATTATAGAAGCTAAAGTTTAATTCTGTTTCCTCTGTCTGTCCTGTCAAGTTTATTACTGCAGGTTTTTTCTGTTTTGTCCCACGGTATTTGCTGTGACATTACTGCACGGATGGAAATGTTTAAATGACTGACCGCAGCCTCTCTACTCATCAAAGTAAATCATTAAAGAAAACACTCATACATCAATATAACACACAAGAAAGAAATCGTCTGGAAAGCTACAGGGACCGGTGGAGGTGGGGGTAAAACGTCCATGCAGATGCTGGTTTCTAAATCTGATAAAATAATTAGTTGGTGGGGAGGGGGGGATGATTTATCCGTATAGGCCTGTATTAGTTGCGTTAATGTCCAAGCCGATCTGTGCATCACACCAATTCAGCTGCTATAATCGTGACAAAACAGCTGCTGAAGTCAAATTATTAGGCTGTCATATCAAGCAGAGCATTCAGCACTGATCTGTTTCATGTTTTAAAAGCCTAATAGTGCCCAAGTAGTCTGCACGTCATTCCAACAGTAGAGTCCTGTGATAACAGCTGTAATTGGGGCTGTATGAGATAAATGTTACTGTGTCATTTTGTAAAGGGACTGATGATGAAACGCTCATCTCATCAGGCTGAGGGCTGTAATGATCTCCTGTTTACAGACAAAAGGCGCACCGCAAAAAAATGGTAGGCCTAGTCTGCTGTGTAGCCTGGTGAATGATCAGGCTGCTGTAATCTGACTGTTTCCAACAGATGCTATAATGTTTATTAGAACCTCGAGATGTTTCTACATGTTATAATGTTGACAAACATGTTTCTGGATTGTGAAGAAATGATCTGTAGTCTTTAGTGCCAAAAGCTGCTCTCTGCTCTGACAGAGATCACAGCTCTAACAGTGTGAGCAGGACTAACATGCGCCTCGAGGAGTAGAGGATCGAGGAGTCGAGGAGGTGGAAATGAGAAGGGCCCAGAGGGACAGCTGGGCAAAAACAGAGAGACTGGCAGGCAGGCAGGCATGCAGGCAGGCAGGCAGATTACTGGGGGAACAGACAGAACACATGTTACCAAAATATCAGACAAGAATCTAACCCCAGACAATAACAAAAACCCATGTAAACAGACACCGACCAACTGTAACACAGGGATCAAAACAGACAAAACCTAAACGAGAACACAAGAACTAGAACACAGGCAGGGAGTTGAAAACAACATAACGGGGCAAGGCAGGACTGAAATTAGGATTAGACAGAACACCAGACAATTACAGAATAAGACAGGAACTAAGGCAAGCATAGATAATAACCAGATAAATAATAACCCAGACTAAATAACAGATACCGAACTGATTAATAAGTAAACGCACAGTGAACTAAACTCAACAGATGACGGAACTAAAAAGTAGATACAAAACCCAAAACTCAGAATCAAGAACCAAAACCCAGAAACAGAGAAACCACAAATCAAAACACCGAGAAGGCATGGCCAAAATAATATAACATTGACAACCTCAGGACAGGACTGTGACAGTGAGAGCCAGAACTGCACTTTTACTGCTCACTGGTACATAAAAACTACATGAAATAAATCTAATAAACATCGCTGAAAAAGTTTGATAACTTTGCACCAAAATAAGGTTTAAAAAACGTTTTTCCCGACTGGTTATAGTTCTACTATGCATGCGTCACCACTTCCACGCATGCGCAGTAGAAGTAAAACAGACCCTTACGTCAGTGGAACCACACGACTTACTGTTAAATCAAACAATGCAGCAATAATCCTTATCAGATATTTGTATACTGTCCTGTTTATTGCATGCTCTTGAATAGTTTTTCTCAGGTGTATTGACCCACCCACTGCTGCCCACATAAACTTGTTGACCTATTGGTTTCTTTGTCAGCAGACACAAAGTTGTCGCTCTGTAGCAGCAGAGCCAAATAAAGAACAACTCCATGTTCCTCCAAACCAATTTCTACTGTCTACCGCTGTCTGAAGTTATTTTACCAGATGGACACACATGGAACTTGCTTCCTTACTAGAAGAAGTAACTGTGTTTCCTGTGCTTGTTTCTCAGAATGGACTTTGATGATGAAGACGGAGAGGGACCTAGCAAATTTTCAAGGTGAGAGACCACAAAAAGCGTGTTGATCCTGTCTGAATGTTTTTTAGAACTAGTTCACAAAGATCACACTGTTTCTGTTTCAAGCTATCCGCTTGAGATCACACTGTTTCTGTTTCAAGCTATCCTATGGTACGATAGATTGAAATGAACATATTACAAATGTTAGATACATTTTTTCACTGTAGTCTTTGAATTCAAACATGGGTTAGTAGTACAGTAGGCAATACTTTCTGGAACATCAGTTCTCCTGGGTTTTAAATTGGTCTGAATGAATTTCAGGTAGCATTAAAAAGGACTTGAACAGTCCACATTTGTCTTTGACAACCCTACAGATACCCTATTTTCATAACAAACATTGTGCTGTGTGGACACTTCATGACTTACTCTTCATTTCCCTCCATCAAACATACAGCACTCCTTTATGTATTCCTTTTTTTAAAGACGGACTCAAGTCTTTCTCTGTCACTGCATCACAACACATTTAATTTATCTCTACTTATTTTCCTTTTCTTCCTCATGTTGTGTAGTGTGTACAGTAAGTGCTTTCTTTCTGGGCTGACAACATGGCAGTGGATTTGTTTCTGCTAAGTTGAATGGTGACAGTGTAGAGGAGGAGCTGCTCTCTGCTGAACACAGGAGGAACTGCACTCTTAATAATGGACTGCAGGATTACTTGTATGATTATTTGGCTACAGGGAAGCTTTGTATTTGTACTGTGAAAGGGTTTACTCCTGTTTTAAACACTTTGTGCATATGTCATTCCCATTAAATAGACAGTCCACTTCTGTTTCCCATAGCCAGGAGCTTCACCCTGCTTCTCAGTGTGTGACAGAGACAGAAACTGAAATATAAGTTGACCCACCCACAGTGTTTTTGGGTTGTTTGGGGGAAGGGATTGTGGTGCACCTTTTAGGCTGTACCATCAGCAAAGTTACATGACAGGTGAGAGGGGGAAGCTCAGACACAACAGGACTCTTCTGTACACCAACACTGTGAAACTCCAGGCTGTAAATCAACAGGATATCATACATTACAGTTTCTCTTGATTCTAAGAACATTCTCAGATTTCAGGCCCAAATTCTTCAGTTTAGTGATATTTGACTATATTTATGGGGTAAATCTGGTCATTTTAAACATGGACACTTTGTCACTACATATGTTGGGGTTCAAATGACTAATAGATACAAAAAGTTTTGGAACTGGTGTAGAAGATGTCAGCAAGCAGCTGCGAAATGGGCTGCAATGGCTGCTGTCAAAAGTACATCAACTAAAGGTTCAGATTGTTATTCTGTGTCTGACAACATCATGGAAAAGATCCCTACAGAGATACACATTTTTCTTAAAGAGTAAGATCCTTTCTTTTAACAAGAAACAAATGTCTCGCTCTGAAATCTTGTGAGAGGTGAGTTGTTGCAGGAAGGCGATGGTGGAAACATTAGTCAGAGAGACATCTTAGTTTTCAACAAAAAGGTGCATCTCTCTAGGTTTCATTTCCATAATGTTGTCAACCACTTTTTTGTACCTACTAGTTATTTCGACCGCAACGTATGTGAAAATAAGGCTCAGGTTTAAAAATACAGATACCACTTTAAAGTTAGGAGTGACTCCATCCTTTTCCATCCAGTGACCCTGTTTCTAATGGACAGGTTAAGTAAACAGACTTATATTTAAACTTTATAAAACTGAATACTGAAGTCTGTGATGCTGTGATTCTGTAAGAAATGGTTCTTCTGTGGAAGCAAATAATAATTTTGATAAAAGACTGAATTGTGAAATTTAAGAGTGCTGAAATCTTGTAGTGGTTAAATGTTGAAATTGCATATGAATGCATTGAAATATTTGACTTTAATAACCACCTATTTGAATTTATGTGGTTTGAATTCTCTTACAAATTTTCAGTAGGTCATTTCAAATGGTGAAATTTCCAAAATACGATTTTAGGTCGGACACAAAGCTCTCAACACAAGATCCACATACCAGCTTTTTCAGGAGCTTTCAGCACCTCATGGCCTTCATCAGCAGATGAGTTTTGTCCCAGTCATACTCCTGTTCTGTCACTCATTTTCACCAAACGCCGTTGGTAGCCTGTTTTTTTTTGTCCAGGTTTGCCCATGTTGTTACCATCAAACTTTGAACCATCTAATTTCATGCATTAATATGTGACAGCCATTGCATGTAAGAGGTACGGATAGTGATGCTGCTACATGATGCTTTTCATCTGTATATATGTATATTATGTTACATGGTGTGTCCTCTGTTCTCTTTAGGTATGATGATGATCAGATTCCTTGTGGAGATAAGGAGAGATATGCCAGGTAGGCCTAGCCAGCTGAGGTCACAGAGGATTTTCCATTGACACAGGGATCATGGATCAGGGATCAGGAAACATCACTTACGAATCATTCATTTGATCTAGCTGAGAGGCAGAGCATCTAGGAGAGAGAGAGAGAGAGAGAGAACCTTGTATCAAAGCAGCGGTAGCCTACCTTAGAAAGAATCGAAAGCAGAAGGTTACCATAGTTATTTCACCATAGATACATTTTTATGAAAATGCTTTTGATGGTAGACCCTTACCAAATACAGGAATATAAATAATTAAGGAATGGGCACATATTCTGACTTTATGAGTTCATGACCGTAATGTAGAAAGTAACCGACCTATTGTTGCATCGCAAAATTCTGTGGAAAAACAAAAAAACAGCAACAGCTCGTCTGTCCCAACAACCTTAAATGTCAAGAAGTTTATTGGATAAATGTGGAAACAAAGCCATCAGTGGTGTGGTGATACTTGCTGGCTACTTACTTCTGGACACAAAGTGGGTGAGACAGTGCCAAAAGAAAGACTGATGATGTCCATAGTTTATTATAAATGTGAGTAAATAAAGATGGGGAATATAACAAACTCAGTTCATCAACTGAAGCATCACCATGCAGAGTAAGAACACGCTTTATTTATATCATGAAATACTGTAAATTTAGATTGACTGATATGAAAAATTTTTGTGGGGTCATTCTTTTGCCAACCATATGTGTTAGTCTGTGAAACGGCTAAACATGATGCGTCCTGCCTGATGGAGCTGCTTACACAACTAGTGTTTCATTTGGATTTTACCCACTGATGATAATAACATTTGAGAAACACTTTTTTGGGGCCTTTGATTTATTTATTTTGGACATCAAAATTGCCCAAACTATTAGCCATTGGGACAAAAACTAATTTGCATCCTCAGAACTGTGTCAGTTTGTATAGTAAGGGTCTGCAGGGAATTTGTCTCAGACTGTGACAAATAGGTGCAATGTTTTTACAAATACAGCAGGAGCTTCTTAAAGCCTTTTTTGGCATAAGCTTGTGTCCCTCCTGGCATCTGAAGGAAAACTGGATTTAAAAGACCTTGCTGGCGGGCCTACGGTGTTGTAAGAAGTGACTGGTTTGGCTGATTAATCTGGTCCCTTTGAGATAATAATCTTTTCTAATGGCTAACACGTTCCCCCATCCTAAATGACAGCAGATCTAATCTATAACCATTACTGGCTAGTGTTATATATATTATGTAATGGTATGTATGTATAGAATAATGCAGTCGAATGATGTTGCTTTTCTGATGTCGACAAACTGTACGCTCTCCCTTTAATACCGCATTCTGAAATCTACAGCATAACCCATTTTCTTATTCAAAGTTCCATCTAAAGCAACATGTTACTGGCTAAGATAACCATGTAGGCTGCATTAGATTGTACTCTGTATGGAATAATAAAATTACTCATGACTTGTCTTTGTATTTACATTGGCGTTGTATCTTATTATCTTATTATGTGTCTTGCTCTCTAAATATCTGCATCGGCTAGTGAAAAGCCCATGTCTGTCAACCAGTAGTTGTAAGCGCTTAATTTTCCCTCAGTGGAAAAGTGTAGTAATGCATCTCAAAATAAAGGGGCAGTTGACATGAAGTTGACAAGCAATTGTATTCAACTGACAGTTTATTACAGACTCCAGACAAGAGTGAGATGTAATGGTAAAATCCCTCCTCTAGCATTTAAATTTAGACAAACAGATCACAGGCTGGTAGATTATGGACATTGAAAAAAACTGTGGTAAACCATAGTCAGCAGACTGGAGAGGGAGAGAAATCATGATTCATCATAGCTGTTGATAATTGGTTCAAGCAAGGCAGTAAAGTGGTTCCTGGTCTGTAACATCCCCAAGTGTCTTACTGCTTTTCTCTCTGTTTTAGAGAGAACCACAGTGAGATTGAGCGACGCCGGCGCAACAAAATGACCCAGTACATCACTGAGCTGTCAGACATGGTCCCTACCTGCAGCGCCCTGGCCCGAAAACCTGATAAGCTGACCATCTTGCGTATGGCTGTCTCCCATATGAAGTCCATGAGGGGCACTGGCAACACATCCACTGATGGGGCCTATAAGCCGTCCTTTCTCACCGAACAGGTACTGTCCTGTAGAGACCCAGAGCAAACAGTTTGAATTACAATGGCTTTGTCACTGAAACAGAAAAATGCTTTAATATTAAAGTAAAAAAATGTTTCTACAAATGGATCTTCACAAAATAACTGTGGAACCACTTTGAAAGGCCATCTGGAGAGCCAGAACCTCCCCAAAAACTGGGACTCCCTAAATGAATGTGGGGAAATGTTTAGGTGGGTTTTGATACCAAGATATTATGTTTACATGCACAACTAATAACAAAGATAATCCAAACTAGTGGATTAAACATTACACAATATGCTCAATGGATAATGTAAATCTTCTCTCCAGCTGACTTATTTTTTTCAGAATATTTATACAAGGGGTCGGCACGATGAAGACATCCAGTGTGCCAGCAGCGTTTGTTAATGCACATCATTTTATTTTTAATTTAAGCAATGTTGGTCAGATTTTAATTGAAGTTTGACCTTGATAATAATAATTTGACATATGATAAACAGTGCTAAAAAAATCTAATTTATTACAAGTTTTGTAACTTGGTTTTTAGTTTTGTAATTAATAAATAGAATGATTCAAAATGAATAGCATATATTGATATTTGCCATGATAAGCATTTAAAATATTCTAATTCATATAGATTTTGGTAGATGACTGCATCAATCAGAATCCGCTTTATTGCCAGGTATGTGTACACATACGAGGAATTTGACTCCGGATTGTACATTGCTCACAATGTGCTTACTCACACAAAAATACAAAATCACAATAATAAAAATCAAATCAAATCAGACAGAATTCTGTGTAGACAACACAAATATACACACTATGAACAAAAACAATATAGACATATTGACAAATAGTGCAGTGAGCAGAGTGCAAAGGATGCAGGAGTGTGTACATGTTGGAGGTGGATGTGATGTACAGGTACATATACATGCATACATGTACACATGTACACAGTGCAATGAAGCATAGTGCAAAGGATGCTGGAATAAATAAGTAAATATTATGTGCAGGTGTTATGAAGTTGAGGTAGGTAGATTAGGTATACAGTATCTACAATATAACAGTATGAAGAGCTCTGAAATAGAGAATGGTGAATAAATAATAAGTGTTAGCCAGTAAACAGGTGGCTGATTAGAGACAGAGTTACTGGGTTATTGCACAGGAATTGTTCCTGACACTGTAAGTCAGAAATCAGCTGTTCATCAGAGTGATGGCTTGTGGGAAGAAACTGTTCCTGAGTCGGTTGGTTTTGGCGTACAGTGCTCTGTAGCGCCTACCAGAGGGGAGAAGCTGGAACAGGTTGTGTCCGGGGTGAGATGGATCTGCAGTGATGTTTCCTGGCCGTTTCCTGACTCTAGAAATGTATAAGTCCTGAATGGAGGGCAGGTTGGCACCGATGATCTTTTCTGCAGTCCTGACTGTCCGTTGTAGTCTGCTCCTGTCCTTTTTGGTGGCAGATCCAAACCAGACAGTGATGGACGTGCAGAGGACAGACTGAATGATGGTTGTGTAGAACTGGTTCAGCAGGTCCTTAGGCAGGTTGAGCTTCCTGAGCTGGCGCAGGAAGTACATCCTCTGCTGGGCCTTCTTGATGATGATGTCCGTACTGGGCTTCCACTTCAGGTCCTGGGAAATGGATAAGACATAGGCCTTTGGCGTGAGAGGTTAAATCCCCCACTGTGACCCATCCACCATTGTGTCCCTGAGCAAGACACTTAACCCCTCGTTGCTCCAGAGGCGTGCGACCTCTGACATGTACAGCAATTGTAAGTTTCTTTGGATAAAAGTGTCAGCTAAATGAATAAATATAAATGTAAATAGTGGATCCCAGAAACCTGAAGGATCCCACAGCAGACACAGGGCTGTTCAGTATGGTGATGGGGGGCAGAGTGGGGGGGCTCCTCCTGAAGTCCACGATCATCTCCACAGTTTTGAGTGTGTAAAGCTCCAGGTTGTTCTGACCACACCAGAGAGCCAGCTGATCAACCTCACGTCTGTAGGCCGACTCATCACCGTCCCGTATGAGGCCGATGACCGTTGTGTCGTCAGCGAACTTGAGGAGTTTGACAGATGGGTCTCCTGAGGTGCAGTCGTTGGTGTAGAGGGAGAAGAGCAGTGGGGAGAGCACACACCCCTGGGGGGCGCCAGTGCTAATAGTCTGGGTGCTGGATGTGATGTTCCCCAGCCTCACCTGCTGACTCCTGTCAGTCAAGAAGTCTGTGATCCACTGACAGGTGGAGGCTGGCACAGTGAGCTGGGTGAGTTTGGAGCTGGGGATGTCCGGGATGATGGTGTTGAACGCCGAGCTGAAGTCCACAAACAGGATCCTTGCATACTGTATGTCCCTGGAGAGTCGAGGTGTTGCAGGATGTAATGCAGACCCAAGTTGACAGCATCATCCACTGACCTGTTAGCCCTGTAGGCAAACTGCAGGGGGTCCAGCAAGGGGCCTGTAATGTCCTTCAGGTGGGCCAACACCAGTCTTTCAAAGGACTTCATGACTACAGGTGTCAGTGCGACGGGCCTGTAGTTATTTAATCCAAAGATGGAGGTTTTTTGGGGGCCCAGGATGATTGTGGAGCGTTTGAAGCAGGAGGGAACTTCACACAGCTCCAGTGATCTGTTGAAGATCTGTGTGAAGATGGGGGCCAGCTGGTCTGCACAGATTTTCAAGCAGGATGAATACACACCGTCGGGGCCAGGAGCCTTCCTGATCTTCTGCCTCTGGAAGAGATGGCTTATGTCCTCTTCTCAGATCTTGAGTGCAGGTGAGGGGTCAGAGAGGGGGGGTGGCAGTGGGGGAAGGTGACTGAAGAAGATGGTGTTGGAGCGGGGGAGAGGTGTGACTGTGGGCTTTCCAAACCTACAATAATTCAGCCAGTTGTTGAGTACCAGCAGTGTTGGTGGTCTCTTGTAGTTTGTGAGTGTCCGCATGCCTCTCCACACTGACGCAGGACCATTGGCTGCAAAGCTGTTGTTTAGCTTTTCGGTGTAGCTCCTCTTTGCTGCTTTGACCTTTTTAGTCAGACCTGGCCTGGTTGTACAGGACTCTGTTCCCACTGCTGAAGGCCTCCTCCTTGGTCTGACGAAGCTGCCTGAGTGATAACAAACCAACTTATTTAGCTAAACATCTTTATTTCCCAAACATTCATAATTCTTTTTTTCAGTATTCATATGCAATAACAATGCTAATAGCGTTTTGTGGTACTAAAGACCTTCTAGAAACTTTAGGATGACAACTGCCTCCTAAGTTTGAACAACCTCTGCTGAGCAAGACCAGGTCAAACCTGAGTCACAGTATAGCCAACAGTTAACTAAATGTCGTGTGTACAGTCAGTCAGAAGGCTAAAATAGTTGCAGATGCCTCTAGTGCCAACATTTTTTCTTCTAAATTCACATTTTTTTCACCATATTTACCATCTCTGCTGCACTTGTCACACAAATACTGTGACATACTGTTAAAGTATAAGGCGTTATTTTCTCTATATTTCTATAATTTTGACAACCATAATAATAATGTCAAAATTATTTCATCATGGTGGTTGATGATCTGTTTTTGGTAGCCTAATATTAAACAACGTAGCCGCATATGTCAGTATTGTAGGATTGAGTTGGCTTTCTCACATGCCACTTAAAATGTCTCTATGTGCCCACGCTGGCACCCGTGCCATAGGTTGCCGACCTCTGACTTATGCACAGCTCAGAAAATGTCCTGTGATGACAGATTTTTTGTCATTTACAAGTATATGTAGCACTCACATCTGGTACACTTTACTTTGGATCAGTCAGAGCCCTCAATCAAGCCCCTAGCCCAGCCCTGGCCTAAGATGCTCAGGCCCTAGCCTGGCCAGTGACCCATAGCTTATCAGAATTCTCAGCCCGGGCCCGACTGGTGCCCATGTTTTTTTTCTCCTCCCCATAACACAGCTTACTGTAGCAGCCAATAAAACTGTTCAGTTTTGTTTTAATGGCAGTGGTATTATTTAGGGACCTTTTTTTTTGTTTAAAAAAAAAAAAGTCCCTAAATTCTCTTACTACGGCTGGCTCAGAGGCGGATCAAGTCTGACCCTTTCCAGCCTAGTAACTTTCATACAGCGCAGCGAGCTGGCATATTGGTGCGATACTCCCGGAAAATATTGTGAAAGCGGTGTGTATGTGCTCGCGTCGTATGTCAGTGTATTAGGTTATAAATCGTTTCTATCTTTGTTTTACCGCCTCCAGTATCTCCTAGTTTATTGTAATTGATGGATGTCTAAAACCTATAAAACCAACAGACTCAGGAACGGTTTCTTCCCACAAGCCATCACTTTGATGAACAGCTGACTCTGACTCAGTGTGTCTGGAACAATTCTTGTGCAATAACCCAGTAACTCTGTCTCTAATCAGCCACCTGTTTACTGGCTAACACTTATTATTTATTCACCATTCTCTATTTCAGAGCTCTTCATACTGTCATATTGTAAATACTGTATACCAAATCCACCTACCTCATGTACATAACACCTGCACATAATACTTATTTATTCCAGCATCCTTTGCATTCATCATACTGTGTACATGTATGCTTGTATGTGTATGCGTACCTGTATATCACATCCACCTCCAACATGTACATAAAAAAAATAATAATAATAATTTTCTCCTGCATCCTTTGCACTCTGCTCATTGCATTGCTCTCAATATTGATTGTCTGTTTTGTTTATAGTGTGTGTATATATATGTGTTCTCTATACTGGAGCCTGTGTTTGATTTTATTACTGTATTATTGTGTTATTGTATAACCGTTTCGTCTGTCACGGGTGGGGGTGCTGAGTGCAGACTGAGGTGAGGACCCAAATGCAGACAAAGGCGAGGCGAGGATTTGTTTCAAAAGGTGATTTATTAACTCAACCTGAAACAGGCTTACAAGGAGCTCGAGGCAAAGTCCAAACAAAGGTAATCCAGAACACAAGGCGATCCAAAAACACAGGGAATAATCCAGAACAGGGAAAACGAAGGAACAGGCAGGAACACTCAACATTAGACGCACACACAAGGACGTGACAAAGACTGAAGACAAGAGCAGGCATATACACACACACACACACACACACACACACACACACACACACACAGTGACTAATGAGCGGGGCGGGAGCAACACAGGTGAGATACATCAGGTAATCAAACAAAGCTAGACAAGGACACCAGGTACAGAGGGTTACCAAAATACAAAAACAAGGCTAAACAGAACACAAGACCAGGAGTAAACACTAAAGACATGAACTAATGTACAGGACTAAGACACGAGACAAGACAGATACTAAGTAACTTAAGGATGCAGATGAATAATAATGAACAAGGCTACACAGAATACACAGAACCAAAAACAGGAAACATGAACACAAAAACCACATTCCTAACATCGTCCCTTGGATGAGGGACGAAACGTCTTCCAGTATCTTCAACCAAGTCCAGTTGCCCTTGACTTTAACCTTCGTTGGATAACTATGACATGGATGACTGAGAATCTTCACAGACATGTTGTTGTATAAGTAAGAACATGGTGAGCAATGTACAATCCAGAGTCAAATTCCTCGAATGTGTATTGAATTCCTGAATGCTCGTTCAGCATTATCTGACTCTGTAATTAATAATAATTCTAATTAGTGAATGTAATGCAGCGTACGTGTGTGGGGTTGTGTCTGTGTGTTCATGTAGCTTTTTGCTCCCTGTAGGAACTGAAGCATCTGATCCTGGAGGCGGCGGACGGCTTCCTGTTTGTGGTTGCTGCAGAGACGGGTCGGGTGATCTATGTGTCGGACTCGGTGACGCCGGTGCTGAACCATCCCCAGTCAGAGTGGTTTGGCAGCACTCTGTATGAACAGGTCCACCCTGACGATGTGGACAAGCTAAGGGAGCAGCTCAGCACTTCAGAAAACTCCATGACAGGTAGAGAAAGTCCTGTCACTCAGCTCAAAACAGTTTTCTGTTTTCCAGTTTTTATTAATAATTGGTTTGTGAAATGTCTCACAGGAGAAGCCAAGAGTTTAATTGAATGAAATAAAAATGTTGTGAGAATAATAAATGTCAGAGATATTCATGGTGCCCACTAGAAGGCAACATTGTCTTGTTAAATCTCTTCCTCTCCATGGAACCTCTGAGTTTGGATTTGTTTGTCAGTTTTTCCATTTGACTCCAGTGGCCCTGTGCACCACACTGAATACCCAGCAGTGCCATGTAATCCACATAATACAGTAATCTCCATGTGGAGCTGTGACAGATGAAAATACACACACGAACGTGCACACATACACAGCCTTTGAAGTCTGAGCATTTCTCAGAGTTAAGTTTCATTCAGTGGAACTAAAGCAGTATGTTTTGGAGATGATTTCTCCTTCTTCAGCTGCTCACTGTTTGAACTTTGTTGTGTGCCTGTTGCAGGACTGCATGTTTTTCCAGAAGAAGAAGTGGAAGGACAGAATAACAATAATCGGCCAATAATCCAGCACACAGTTGTTGCTGTCTGTAGTTCACTGTGGGAATAATAAGTGATCCATTTACTGTTTTAGAATTTATTTGGGCGACATTAATAGTGGGGTGATCTATGCATTGCCTTTTTTACTCGGCATTTGCTTATATTAATTTTTTTATGACTCAAAATAGTCACGTTACTGAAATTTCTAACATTAATACAAAACCATTATTATGGCCTTTCCAATTTCAATATCACAGGGGAAAATCGACACAAAATTGAGGTAGGGCTGTGCGACATGACTAAAATCTCCCGATATAGAACATGAACACGAGATGGTCCCAGAGCAGAACAGCAGTTCGAGACAGTGATACAACTCTCCTGCTGCTCCAGCTAACATTACAACAACAGCATGTCTTGTTGAAATAGAAAGTTAGCTGAATGTCCGTGGGCAAGACATTTAATATTACCTGACACTAGTGTTGTAGTCAAGACCAAGACCAGAGTTTACTGAGACCGACACAAGACCAAGACTTTTAGGGGCTGAGACCATGTCGAGACCAAGACCAGTGCTCCACATTACATGACACACAATAAAATGTGGAAGGTACTTCTCAAATTGATCTGAAAGATCCACATTCCCATTAAAACACCCACATATAAACACTAAGAGCTGAAATCAACGTAAGCATCACAGTGATAACAGTCATTAACGGTAACACATTTTTAATTATGATTATTGGTTGCATTTGAAGCAGTACCTTTTACATCCGATCAAAGTTAGGATTTAAACAAATAAATCAGACAATACAAAAGCAATTTATTGATATTCCCAAATGTATGCTCTTGACTGGTCTTGAAATAAAATCTGGATTCCTCAATGTCCAAACGGCTGGAGTAACTTATGTTGCGTGGCTCCTTGTTTTAGTTTGCATGGTCTGAGTCTTCCTGTTGAGTATTATCCAGTTATGAGTTAACTTCACTCTCCTCCACCAGCAGAGAACAGCTGAATAACTGTAGTAAACATTAAAAATAATTACAACTTTTTTACTTTAAACACGGGGGGAAAAGTTGCTCTGTCCAAACTAAAAATGTTTGTTTAAACTGTTCATAGACAGAAAGAAGTTAATTATTAAAATAAATGACATTGTAATTTGTGACTGGCTACAGAGACTTGAATGGCTTTACATGCTGGAACTATTTCTCTGACAAAAGTGTGAGTTGCAAGGCAGTGAGCACTGTTTTTACAGAATAATTAGTACAAACCATGACTAGTACCAATGCAGATATGTAAAATTTGTTTACCTGGTTGAGTTTATCTTTAAGTAACAGGGCTGATGTGAGGACAGTGTACATTGTCATACAGGTTTAAAATAGCTTCAAAGAGAGAATAGTATGTGCTTGTTTAGTTTGTTTATTGTGTTCTTTTGGCAAATGGTCTGTTGAGTGCTTACCATGGTCAGCAGCCTTCTGTCTTTGATCTGACACGTCATCATAGTTGCGTGTTTGCATGTGAAGTTCCGGTCAGCGATTCAGATACAGAGAATTCCTTTTGCATCTGGAAAGGATCAGTCTTGTTCTAATGAAGATGGAGGCTGATTATGCAGGTCATAGTAACAAAGCAAAGCTGTTGGGTCTGATCTGCCTTTCGCCTTTATCCTGTACAAACTTAACCTTAATATAAGCCCGTCTCCTACACCAAACCACTTGAATCATGTGATCAAGGAACACAAGGGCTCTCAGGGGTCCTTGTCGCTTGGTGAAATGAGAGAGTTTGACTCTATGAATTCACAAGAAGTGCCAGTTACAAAATGATCAAGGAATATTCATCATAAGTTTCACTGTCAACCCCTCTAAGTGTCTGCTGTCTGCTGGACTGATGCAGTGCCACTGTCTCCGACATTTTGTGCCAAATGTATGCATACTACTTAATTTACATATATGCAGATATTTGCTTGGCAGTGCAGTTGGGGGTGCAGGATGCTTTTGAGATGCTTTTGCTCATATTTTTGCTGGTATAGCGGCCGCAAAAAAGGCGCAATCTTTTTGTGAGTCTGTCCGTCTGTGTTGTTAAGACCTCAGTGTTGTTGGAATGGCTTTCCTCTGGCAGCTCCAGTGATCAGCTGTCTCTCTGGGCCTTTACAGGAATGTCTATTTTCATCTCTGTCTCAATGCAAGTAGATTGGTTGAGGAAATGAATGTGCACTTAGCTCACACAAACAGCAGTCTGATAAATCAGGCCCACAAGGCCATTAAAACACCACCTCTGATATGATGGATATCACGCAGTTCGACAAATGCTATAGAATAATACTGCTATGTGAAGCAAGACTTCACCTTGAATTTATTCGGATTGGTATGAGAATTGAACTTCGTCTTGGGACTCCAAACGATTAGTCTTGTGTGGTGCACACATTAAGTTGATGACACAGAAATATTTAAGCATGGGCATGTGTGACAATTAATATTTGGCTGTGCTCTACAGTGGCTTTCCTTGTGGTACGGCCATAGGGTGATTTCATTCTTTGTTAACCAAAAGCATAAATATCAACCAGACAACAGTCACAACAAAAGGCTAACACACAAGTTATTTTTAATCTAAAAGAAATGATTTAGCCACGTTATTTTGTTTTACTAGTCCTAAATTCACTTCCAGTTAAAATTATAAAAAGTACCCAAACTAACACTTAGCTGTTCATTATGTAGTGTCGTTATTAGCTGCCACTGTTGCAAATGACATCATCTGTCTGTCACACTTAAATATATACCCTCATCCTAGTGGGCACGGAGTCTCACAAGATGAAGATCAGACAATCTGAAAATGCAGACAGTTGGCCAGCTTGGACATAGAACAAACAGGGAACAGGAAGAAAAGAAAAGCAAAGGTGTAACACAACACAGCTTTAGTTTAGTCTCATCATTTCCTTCCCTTGTTCCTGATTTAATATTCAAAACCACAACTGCTGAGCTTTGATCATAGACTTTTAACTCTCACAGCCCAGAAAAACACAAGCACCATTTACTCCTCCTTCCCTCCTTCCGGTTTGTTTATTTCTTCTGTTCTGTTCTTTTCTTGTTCAGTTCTTTACTGATGTTTTCTGTGCACTCGTGTTGTACTATTTTAATTTGATCTGCTGTTTGTGCGTTAACAGGACGGATTCTGGACCTGAAGACTGGAACAGTGAAGAAGGAGGGACAGCAGTCTTCCATGAGGATGTGCATGGGTTCCCGACGCTCCTTCATCTGCCGCATGAGGTGTGTGTGACTGTGTAACCAAGTATGTGTTTTATTTATTTATTTTTAACAACTCTGGCCATCATTGAGCAGTCCAATCTACTAGGCATTTTGCAGTCACAAACAAGTGTTACACTTTTCCGTGTTATTTAAACTCAAGTTTTAATAACACTACATTTCCAAAACACAAAATATATTCAAGTCAGAGATTAGTCAAGTTAATCAGTTTTAGTGTCACACTATTAGAACATTCAGTTCTAATAGTGTGACAATAGTTTTAATTTCAGATAGATACGTTGATGCAAATTGGTTTCATTTGGCTTTGGGATACAATTCCCTAAAATCCTCCATGTATGTTGGTGATGATGCCAAAATGATCAGTATACTCTAGAGATGTCATTTTTCAACAGTGCTAAGTATGACTCATTGTGTCAGTAAACAATTTAAATAATGCAAGGTCACTTCAGCTTTTCAACAGTAAATAGGAATCAGTTGAAATGGTACAAAGTGGTAAACAGCAGGGTCCGTGTAATGTGGCAGGCAGTCAGTCAGTGTGTAGCTCGCACAGTGATAGCCATTACACGTATACAAAGACATGACTGGCAGTTTTCTTTCAGCTGCTTCCTTACTCAGAGCATTCAATAGTCCTGTTGAGCTGCTTCTAACTGGCCTCACAAATGCTTGTACAATAGTGTTCCATTGGCGATTTTGATGTGGTGTTCAGGCCATTATGCCCACAATTAATTATAATATGCAGGTCTGGTAGAACTATATTTGTGAGTCAGAGGTCGAGGAGGAAACTAGATGGAAGATACTAACAGAGGGAAAAAAGTAGATTTGAGCAATAGGATTTAAATCAAAAGTAGAATATTATATTTACGATATACAGTATAAATATAAATGTAAGGATGTCCTGATAAAGTTTTTTTGTTAATACAGGGTATCTGCTGATCAAAAACCTAAAGGTTTGATTAAATCAATAAAAAACTGGACTGGTCTGATGCTCTCTACAGGGAGGGGACCATAGACTGGAGAGCAGTGAAGCCAATTTTGGTCCTATGAAATACTTCTACAGGGCTACTTCCTGTTGGCACCAGTATGTACTGCACATGATTGTGCAGCATAAGTGGGATTTAATGATGTAGAGCAACGGCAGAAACACCATAATTCTGGTAGCTGCATAGCTGGGCAAAAAAAAGTCTTCTGGCTCAGTGTGTTTGTGTGACTCGGATCGTCACTGTTTAATCAGCCCACGTACGAGGCTCACCTGCCAAATACCAACGCAGCGTCACTGACGGCCAAATATTTTTATTTTTTATTTTTTTAAGATTTGCACTTATAATCTAACCAATACGTTACATCTATCTGTGCAACAGGGTTTTGAGGTCATTTTCTGGGAACCCTCCACTCAGGTTTTGGTCTGCTTCACTATTTGATCTCTGGCTTACCCCCTCGGGAGGGACAGATCAGACAGTGCTTCCTGAGGCGGCTCAGATCTGTCCAGATCACTGTCGCAGTACATGTTGTTATGACCTGGCTCAAAATGCAACAACAAAAGGGAGACACACTATGGTAAAAGTTTAACAAAATGTTTATTTAAACCAAAGTTAACCACGTTTAAGAAGTATTTCAAACTAATGTTAAATTTTGAGGTATGTAGTCTGGGGTTTCAGTAGTGTCTGTGCAGGATGATGGTTGCATGAATGTATGTGTGAAGGTGTTGTAGTATGCAAAACAAGAGAAATACCACAACACAATAGTCCAACCAAAGAAAACCAAACTAAATGGGAAACCAGGGAGCCTCAACAGCAGCCTCTTTGAAGAATGAGAAGACAGTCCCAAGTACTCTACAGGGCAATTAGCCCAGGTGTTAGCCCAGAGTTACTGCAATCAGCTCTTCCTCTACGAGAGAGAGAAAGCGAGAGTGACCACACGCACTCATGACCCCACAGCGTGGGGTAAAGAAGTTGCTGATGAGGGAATGAGCTGTAGGAGACGAGCTGGGCGGGGAAGGCCGGGTGAGGGGAATGAGGTGATTGCAGCGCAGACGGGAGTGGCACGATCTGTAATGAAAGGTCTGGGCGCTTCTGGTGGACAGGTGAAGAATAATGTTGTAGAGGCCTGGGAGAAGGCTGAAGAGAGACATTGTGAGTTGACTGTTTGACTATATTATTATATTGCAACATAAAAATGATCCTAGCAATGCATCCTAGCCAGCACAACTTTTACATGTGGTGAAAGCAGGCACCCATGTCAAGATATTTAGGTAGAAAACCTTGTGTGTGTTTACAATGCATCCACAAGCACTTCTTCTTCCTCTTCTTCGTCGTCTTCTTCTTCCTCTTCTTCTTCCTCATCTTCTTCTTCGTCTTATTCTTCCTCATCTTCTTCTTCCTCTTCGTCCTCTTCTTCTTCTTCCTCTTCTTCTTTTTCTGTCTGACCCGCAGGAGGAGTGGGGGTGGGGAGTTGGAGCCTCTACAGCCCTCTTTTCCCTTGCTAATGGGCCTGCAGAAGTAGTTTGGAGTCTGACCACTACAAAGAAGAAGTCGGTCTCAGCAGGTCTTTCTGGATCATATCACACGATCATCTTCAGCAGATGCAGTTTGCGTAGTTGTTATGAAATTGTTGATGTTCAAATTTTGCAATACTAGATATTTTTGGCTCCTTGGGGGCAGTGGAGAAAAGTTCTGAACATTGACGTTTAAGTTAATATGTTCACAAACAGTTGCTTAAGCCACGTTTAGACCGACTTAAGCCCAGCGTGTCTGTGTTCGGTTCTGTGGTGCAGTATGGGTGCCAACACTCCAGCAAAACAGTGCAGGGTTGTCCAGAAAACAAGTCGAGCCAGGCTCAATTTCTGCTGCAGTGCAACCCAGTATTTCCTGAATAGGAAGTGTACGGAGGAGTTTGTTGAAAACAGCTGCCTGCAGCAGTCAAAAATTACACTGAGACCAGTGAGAGTAAACAGGTACAGTAAAGTTGTGGGCTGGACAGCTGAACAATGAGATGAAACTAGCTATAAAGCTCTGTAAAGTCGAGGAGAGCACCAGATATGGTGTAGGTATACCACAACGATTGACCCCTTTTGCATTGTCACATTGCTTGCACATTGTCATTTGATACATTGTTATTATTTTGGCTTCACATTGGCTCAGAAAACCCGCTCCAGAACAGCTCATAATGGATCTTGTGGTGAGATTGTTTTGCCAACTACTGTTACCAGGTCATGAAGGAACTTTCAGTCTTACACATACACACAAACATATATGAATTTTCCAAAATTCCAACCTGATGTAGTTGGTATCTTTGGGTTCCCTACTAGAACATTAGATACAGTTTGAACACAGTTTGGTTGCATGGCATGATTTTAAAGATTCATGTTCATTTTATTGTATATTATTACATGGGTTATTAAAATAAAGTTTGACTTTATTGCCCAATGGGAAATTTGTCCTGCACATCACAGTGGCTGCAGTATAATGACTGGCCAACCACTGGGAGACTGCTGGCTGAGGTGTTCTCTGATAGATGGCTGTAGTTATTTTCCTTTGCATTAAACCTTTCTCTCAGTTCAGTTTAAAGCTAGCTGTATTTTGTCCATGACATTTACTAGAATTTCACAAATGTGCTTGACAGCAAAGTTCTTCTTCTTCTGTTTCAGTGCATTTGGACCTAGGCAGTTGTGACAGTGTGCACACACCAGGCTCCTTAATACCACACAGCAATAGTCCAATATATGACTCATACCTGCTTTTTAAATTGAGATGTTCATGGATCCATAACCTATTTCACACCACATGAACCTCAAGCCATATGCCTCTCTATCCTGATGTGACAGCATTAATATTTCTGCTCCCCAGAGATTGTTGGTTAAATGACTGGTGTTTCCAAACTTCGTAGATAATTAGACCTAGCAGACCATCTGTACTGTAATAACTATTGCCTGTTGGACATCACTCCATCTTCACAAGCCATAGCTTCTGACCCTGAACCAAGTTTTTTGCTAAATGTGTCTCTTTCCTTGTGCTGTGTGTCAGGATATCACAGAGACACAGCCCTCATTACTCACTGGCTTCAAACTACACCAAAGCAGCTTTGACTGCTTCAAGTTCTTGGAAGAGATCATGATAAGTACAACAAAATAACACACCTTTTCCATTTTTTCAGACCGGCTGTGCTTGTGTAGAATCATCGAGGACTGCTGTAGCCTTGTTTTGTCTGGATTTATCACAAAGGCCTGCTAGTCTCACGAGAGCCAGAGTGTGTTATGTTGTTAGGAATGTGTTGGATTGGCATGTTTTTCTGTTCTGTTGCTATTCCAGGCTCTGCATAATTCAAACAACATGCTGCTGGGACACTGAAACTGACTGCAAGCAAACAGTAAAATGCAACCACTTCTGTGACACATACATAAACATGGAGAGGAACACAGCAGGCTTACATTTCAGGGAAGCCATTATTAGATTCTGGCAGGATTATGTAAGGTTCAGCTGCGGAGCTAGCCTTTCCACAGAAAAACACCCCCGCATTGTGAACCATTGGCCTCAAGGAAATTCAACTGGAGGCGATTGGCTGCCTCCTGTGTTCAAACTCCAGTCTGTAACCTATACACTGAGCAGCGATAACATTTAATAAGTCCTCTTCTTGGCCATGGTACAGAAAGGACCTACTGCCATGGTCAGAGACTTACAAAGTTTGATCACTCACTCATTTGTCAGGCAAGATGTGGAGCAGACCTTTTAGTCAGCCTCACTGTGCTGATCCAGACAGAGAGGGACTTGCTTATGAGGACCTCATTTCAGTGTACTATTTGGTGTTGCAGCTGTTACTCCTACTATACAAACATATACAATATGAACATTGTTCTTTGGGATTTCAACAGGCAATTTGAAAATGCACTCCTGTGTTCTCAAAAACTGTCATGGATATTTTTACAAGTTTCTGGCATTTTATAGACAAAATAATTAACCAAGAAAATAATCAGCAGATTGGGTGGCTGTGGCTCCCATTAATTGGAAGGTCGACTGTTCAATCCCCGGCTCCTCCAGGCTGCATGTTGAAGTTTCCTTGGGCAAGATACTGAACCCCGAATTGCCCCTGGTGGCTGTTCCGCCAGTGTGTGAATGTTAGTTTCTGTTTGAGCACTTAGGCTCAGTGAATGAATGGTGCATGCAGATGTAGTGTTTTAAAAAAAGTGCTTTGAGTGGTCAAAAAGACTAGAAAGGCGTTATACAAATATAGAGCATTTACATTAATCTATGATGAATCATTATCTCCACTCTATCATATTTATACGAAAGTTAATCTATGTTTCAGCTGTTGTGGTCAAAGAGGAGCAGACGGAGCTGTGGCTCTGTGCCTTCTTTCACAGTGCAACAAACCTTAATCAACTATCCAGCATGAGCAAAGCTTCACAAAATGGACCTCTGTACTAAAACAAAAGTTTAATAATATACACTGCTACCAGAACAATGGAACAGCCTTGTTATCTACCCCTAACCTAAAAGCACTAAAAAATCTTAAAAATGTTTTGATTTATTTTTAAGATTTGTTTTAGGGAGATCACTGGTGATTCAAGTAGAGGATTAGACAGACAGTAACAGAAACAGGTCTGAATGACAGATGATGATGTGAATGTCATTTATTCCAGAGACCCATTTTATCATTGTACTGAGCTGAAAATGAGCCATTGTTCAAGTTTCTTGTGGGCCTAGAGGGGTTTTGGCCTTAATACAGAATAATTATTTGAGGTGGAGTTAATCACATTTCCCATGAAAAGCTAAGCTCTTCAGTGCAGATTTACAGTTTTGGAAAAGTCTGGAAAATTGCTAACATATCCTGGAAAGCAGCAAGTTGTACTAGAAAGGTGTTTGCTTTGCAGTGATAATGACTACCCGACATCCCTACATCAGCCCACAGCTGACAAGCTCTGCTCAGGGACAGTGTGAAGTTGAAATTGTACAAGGTCATGTTCCTATTGTTCAAAAATAAGCAACTTTTTCCTTTTGAACCTGTCTGAGATTGTCAACTTAATTTCCAAAATTTGAATGCCCTGTTTTCAAACTGAGAAATCTAGATTTGTTAGGTTCCACTAAAAGGATTCAGAAGTGGACACAAGGCGGACGATAAGAACACCAGCAGGTTTTATATTCAATGTGCTTGAGGAAAACCAGAGGGTTGGAGAGGAAGCAGAGAATTCCAGACTTGGCGGGGGTCCGATAATGGCGTCCTGGAACTCTGTTCAGGGCGGAGAGATTGGCAGGAAGGCTGGTGGGCAAGCAGGCAGGCAAACAGGTAGGCAGGTTGGCAGCGATTCAGCACACAGGAAAAAACTGTAGCAGACGTAAACAACATGTTAGGTACTAATTACCAAAAATACTCAACTAGACAATAATTCGAGGAGTTGGCCGGAACAATATACCAGAGGAGGTGAACTGGCGAAGGGTTGAGGAAGAACCAGAGTATTTCACTCCATAGGTTGATTGCTCCATGAGCCACAGGTGTGAGATGCTGCAGGTGGTGATGAGCCAGACATGCCCACAGACACACACACACATGACAGGACATGATAGACAAAACTGACAGAGACTGCAGGGAAGGGGAAACGGAGAAACATGAGGAAGGGAGAGGTGACAAAGCCTAATCATGACAGGATTTGTTTATTTTGCTAATTTAGACTTTCTGTTTAAGTTCAGGATATAACAGGTACATCTCTCGAATAATTCTACTACTATAACTACTACTTTTTTAAATTTTACTATTGAGTTATTAGGGTTAGGGTTATTATGCTTTCTGTTGTGATCATGCAACTGGCCTCTACACTGCAGTGTGTGTCACTCAGATTTTTTGGGAAATGTGTTGAGTAGTATTAGTGCAATGGATTACACAGTTGCAGCACAAAGGAAATGGAATGGTAATGCTGTCTCTCCAGCACAAATGGAACCAAAGAGACCAACTAAAGAAAAAAATAACTAAGAACTAATATTCTCAGTTTTCCACATATAGACTTATATTTGGGTGGGTCACCCAGGTATTTGGTGACACATTTTAGCATTTTACAGAGGAACACAGAGAGAGATGTTATCTGGTGGTGTTACAGTATGCGGACATGGTGGATATATTTTACAAGCACAGACCAGGTAAAACTACAGTGAACACACCAGTGCATGTACCACTTGGTTTCGATTTCAATAGGCTTTTCTTTATCAAGCCTTCTCTGCATACGGCGCACCTGCTGTTGAAAACAGAATTGCGGGTAGAGGATCCAAAAGACAAGTTTATAAAACTCCTGATGGAGAAAGTCAACACATACAGGGAGAGAGAAAAAGAAAGAGGCCTGGCAAACCAGTGTGTTCAATTTAAGGTAGATCCTACTCCTGACCTAATCCTAAGTTACATTTAGTAATCTTATCATCAACCAGTAGCACAGGAAAAGAACAGTTTGATATGATAATATGAGAATAAAGAAACAGAGCACTCTCTCTCTTTTTCTCTCTCTCTCTTGCACACGCACACAGACTTACGCACTCATGCCTGCTGTTGTCTCTCCCCCATCCCATTCTCCCTCACTCATGTCAGTGCTACAACTTCTTGGGCATTTATCCTTCTGCTGTTCTGCTTGTATCTACAAAACACATGGCTGTAGCTGTGAAATGACAGCCTGCTTATCAACAGACATCTAAACAATCGGCATAACGCAAGCCCCCCCCCCCCCCAAAGTCCCTTATTAAAACATTTCTGTCGGAGAGCATTTCCTGACATTACTTGACTTCTAATTTTCTTACAAAAGTATTTTAATTACCTAAAAAAGTTCTTATTTGTATCTGTTTTGTTCTGTTTGAAAACCTGATGGTGTGTTTTATTATTTTTATGCCTTGCTCTATAAATAAATTTATAATAAATAATAAAATAATTATTCTTATGATATCAAGATTTTAAATTATTCATCATCACCGTCATTATCACACTACAGCTGCCTCCAACTGTGATTAGCAGCCACGTGTTGGTATCATGTACCACTGGAGTATAATATATGATGTCTTCATTTTATATTTGTGTGCAGGTGCGGTAGTGCTCCCCTGGATCACATCTCCCTAAACCGTCTGTCTAACATGAGGAAGAGATACAGGTAGACAAACTTTTTTCTGTTTGACCTTCACTCTGTCTTAATTAAATAAATTCATTTTATTTATATTGTGGCAAATCATAACAAGGTTATTTCAGGGCACTCTTCTTATAGAGCAGGTTTAGATGCCACAGTTAAACTGTCATTCTGTTTGAAACACTGTTATTAATGTTATAACATTATAAGTAATGTTAGTGACTTTTTCTTCATAGAGAATAAACCCTTACATTAATCTGATATGACAAAAATATTTGTATTGTATATTTTGTATATTAACACATATATGCTTCTATTTGTGATGTAAATATAAGTCATCACCATATTTACCCTCCTGGTTTTGTCAGTATTACTTTTAGTGCCCTGAGGCTACAATGATTGTACAGATGGTGTGTGTTTCTAAACCTTTTCTACGAAGCACAAGGAAATAATTTTGATAAAATGTGTTTTATTTCTCTAGCAGCTTTACACTGTTTATTAAAATGGATTTGTTTATTTGAATGAATCAAAATCAAATGTTTTACTTATGGCCTTGATGCCCTGGCATGTGACCTTTGTGCCACACCAGTCTGAATAAAACATCTGGATTTTTACACCCTCTACCACACTCCCCCAACCTGTCCACCAAATTAGCTTTCTCATTTTTTTTCAAAGAAATGTTTTGAGGACAGTGGGATTCAAATACAGTGTTTTTTAATTGTTTAATTTAGGTTGAAATTAGGGCTGCTGCTAACGATGATTTTAGTACTCAAAGCTTCTATAGATTCATTGATGCGTCGTTTAAGAAGTACTTTTGCTTGGTGGCGGCAGCATTTAGGAACAGGCAGAGGGCTGTGTGAGCGGTGAGTCGGTCTTTTGTCACGTTAATTACATGACTTCAATAATTATAATAAAAACAGACCCAGTCACTTCTCCTCTCCTGAAAACATTCATGACTTGCTAACCCTCCCGTTTTTCACTGCCATCTCCCGGCTTCCTACCAGCTCACAGCAGTTTAATGTTACATGTCCACATTTGTCCTTAGTTCATCACTTCTAAATATTCTCTAAAATCACATAACGTTACAGCAGCTAACGCTGACCGTTGCTCAATTAGCCACAAAGCTAATGCCGTGTTTATCAGTGGAGGTATGCTAACATTAATGAGCCATTAAACTATAGTTTCTGACATATTCTAAATATATCTAATTAAACCAGAGCGGACTTGTAAATAAACGTGAGCTGAACAAGAATCTAACACGGCTTCCTGTAGCTCCCCCGTGTCGGACGTTGTAGATGTGAAACGCTGTCAGAGCCGTAACGGCTCTGATTGTAGTTATAACGTTAGTTAAATGACATCTCAAAGTTGCAGGTCCTCGTTGTAGACAGTCATGTAATATTGCATTCAAGATGCATTCAACAGCAGCTCACTGTATCCTAGACGGCATGATTTATACCTATGATTAAATGGTTTCACGTAGCTTTGGTTAGAATTAAAGAGTGCTGCTAAAGGGATGAACTAGATGTGAATGTGCTACATTGAAATTCTGGCAGATTATGTGTAAAGAGAAATACACATGCTTATTCTCTCTCACTCTCTCTGTTTACAGATGGTTGAAAAAGTTGCACCTTCCAGTAGCAAATATTTATTCATGTGCAATTGTTTACATGTTCACATTTTGTGACTGTAATCGATTTTATTAACATAATCCATTTAGGAAAAGGTTTTATAGCCCACATACATACCAGATTTCAATATCGGCCTGTTCTAAGTGTAGTTTATACAGTAAAGAGGTCTTAAGTTTCTGACATGCTGATGTGTCTCTTTATGTGTGTGTGTGTTTGATGGACAGGAATGGCCTTGGACCCTCAAAAGAAGGAGAGGCTCAGTACTCTGTGGTGCATTGCACTGGCTACATCAAAGCGTGGCCCCCTGCAGGTAAGAAAAACGTGCGCGCACACACACACACACACACACACACACTTAGGGGTGTGATGAGATCTCGCGCCAGGGACCATTTAGGCACCAGAACTATTTTAAAAGTATCAATTTGGCACTGGAATCGTTGAACGGAAAGAATGAACTACAGCTGTGGTCAGAATACATGTGTTACAGTGCAATACAGTACTAACAGTATTGGTAAAAAAGATCTTTCTCAAAGCTCTCATATAAACAGCCCAATCATTTTACTGACCTGTCTTTCTGACCTGCAGACAGAAATTCAAACCTAAAAACCCTTACCCATCTGAAGCCCTGGACAAATTAAGCAATGTTTATTTCCTTTACTCCTTTACTCTTGTGTACTTCCCTTTCTGTTTTGAGGTTAAATTACTATAGTAATTATCTGACTATATGGAACTCTTGATACGTATATGAAAGATTTTGCTCATTATCTTTTTGCCCTAAGCTGTTGTGTCTGTCTTCCTATCTGTCTGTACGTGGTCCAAATGTCAACTGACATCTTCCTGCACAGTTTGTCCAAATTGGCTATTAACAGATTTTTAGAATACTTTTTAAAAGAATCTTTTGATTAAAGGTATTAGATTTCAAGTTTCAGACATCTTTCAACATGTTATTTGGTATTTAGTAGGTCTGAGGCAGTTCTGAGAATACACAAGGCCTCAGACATACTGTCTGACATCAACACACAGACACGCACACACATACAACACAAACACAATGTCCAGTGTTTACAAAGACAAGGACACACACACACACACACACACACACACACACACACACACACACACACACACTATGTGTGTTGAAATCATTGACATATGGTCCATTTGTTGCACCAAAAATACTCCTTTGGAATGTTCTGGACACAATACTGCAGGCAAATAGTCATCAGGCACACACATTCATTAATCGCAGATGGATAAAGGAGAGAAATGTGCCTCAGGCACACATGTTGCATGTTGGGCACCCAACAGCTGAAGAATGTAGCCACAAATAAGAACAGAGTCATGGTTTTGTTTTAACATAGAGTTCAACTACATGGTAAACTGCCATTATTAACTTAAATAAAATGTCTGTTCTTTGATTATTGCATATTAAACACCAACTGGGTAAATCTGGATGTGATTATAGACCTTTAATAACTTTTTATAGATTCAGTAATGTTCAAGGCACATAGTGAATTCTGCCACATCCACTGATTTAGCACAGGGTTGCTTGATTATGGCAAAAATCATAATCACAATTATTTTGGTCATTATAGGCATCATGATCATTTAACACAATTACTCATTGACTTGGAATGTTGTGCATTTATTGACCTTTTTAAAATTAAATGAATACTACTATCCCATAAAATAAGAGACAGTAACCAAACTTTAACTTTAAACAGCATCTTAGAGGCCAAGAGGATGATGGCAACGTATTGTTTGCCCTAGGGTGACTGCTAAGATGATTCTGATGAAGTACTTTGAGAAACTGGTTCTTCAGCACATAAAGAACAACATCCCAGCCACCCGTTTTTTTTCAGAACCAACAGATCCACAGAGAATGGATCATTGGAAACCAAAAATATAAATAATAAATAAAAGAAATTGTACAGTCCGAATTTACAGGGAGTGACCTTCTCTTGCAGGAACAAAACTATACTGGAAGGCTTTTACTTTGAAGGCAACACAGGGAGTGTTGAATTTGCTAAATTAATTTCCTTGCATCTTAAAAATAACCAGTGATTTCTGTGTGTTTTACTCGCTGTAGTGCAGACGCCAGGGCGGAATGGGCATTCCACTTAGATGCGAATATAATCAATGGCGTTGTGTGGTAGCTTGCTCTGGAATAAGACAACATGACTTTATATCTGATTTAGCACAAAACAAACAGCGGGACAGTTAAGGGAGAGGGGCCATAATAGAATTTATTTGTCTGTTCCCCTGTTCTCCTTTACTGAATTATTTGTATTAAACAGAGGAAAACATGGCTTATGGCAAAACATGGCATTGTAGAGAAGCAGTATCAGTGTCAGCCAGTAGATTACCTCTCACTGCTGCAAAGTTCAAGAAGCAAATGAAAAAATAAGTTGCTACTTTTTATGTGAAATGTCTGTTAAATGCCACTCATCACATCTTCCTCTATCTTCCTCTCTTGTTTCCTCAGGTATGTCCATACCAGAAGAAGACACAGAGGCAGGTCAGACTGGAAAATACTGCCTAGTGGCCATAGGAAGACTGCAGGTGTGTGTGTGGTGGCGCAATCAAACCACTTTGATTCCACAATAAAACACCATCCACTTTTGTTATTATCTTGTGTTTCAATAAGTGTCAATATGTGCATAGAAGCTTCTTGAACCACTAATCCAGCATCATGTCTGTGAAGATTCTCAGTCATCCAGGTCATAGTTATCCAACGAAGGTTAAAGTCAATCATCTGTCAGTATACTCAGTATGAGCAGACACTTGTGTCTTGTTGCTGTGCTCAGTCTTACCATGGTGTATGACTTTTGACATTTTGCTGTCGTCAGCAGCCTCACCTTGTTAGCTGAGTTTGGCTGTTCCTCACCCAGTTGTATTCCTCCTACATTGCTGTTTCTGTTTCACTTAATGATTTTGTTTCAACCTACATATTGACTTTATGATCCTTAGCACCTGTTTGGTATAATTGTTTAATCATACACCTGATGATATGCCTACTAGATTCCTGACTTTGTGCAAGTGTACCTAGAAGAACTGATGCTGAAGGCAAAGGGTGGTCGCACTAAATATTGATTTGATTTAGTTCTTTCTTCTGTTCACTCACTTCGCTTATTGTTAATTCATTATTATCTATAAGCATGTCTTTTTTGAAAGCATTCTTACTTTACAGCATTTTTTCCACACCTGTCATCAAAAACATTTGCACAGTACTGTATATGCGTACGTATGCATGTACTGTGTGTATATGTATATTATATATGTATGTGTATGTATGCTTGTATGTACATTTTTCATTAATTACCTCTTGTCCCCTAAGGTTGCTTATGTTTTTAAACCTTCTGACCTTAGGAAGCACAAAGTGCTTCTTAAGCTTGAAAAGTACTCTTTAATAAAATGATTCTTATCTAATGTATGTATGTACCTTTCTCAGGTGACCAGCTCTCCAGTCTCAATGGATATGAACGGATTGTCGGTGCCCACAGAGTTTCTGTCACGTCACAACTCGGATGGTGTCGTCACTTTTGTCGATCCGCGCTGCATCAACGTCATTGGCTATCAGCCTCAGGTTAGCTAAGAGGATTCATTATTCATAATGCCTTCTCCTTGAAACATATTCATATTCACAGTTAGTTGCTAACATTGACTGCAGAGAGAACCAGGCCTTAATTTAAAACATAGAACAGAGTATATTATAAATTCCTAATTTTCTTAATTTTTTGAATATTTGATCAAATTTCAGTAAGAAGGCTTGCTGATCTTTTGCACACTTTCTCCATACTTGTTGTCTGATCAACTCAGTATAATGTCCATTTCCCCAACGCTAATTCCCCCAGTGCAACTCACCACTCTGCAGCTTCCACTTCCTCTTAAAGTTGTAATACTGATGTTAGGCCCCATCAGCAAATGTGGTTTAGTACTACAGGTCACAGAATTGTGGGGGCAGCAAAACAAACTATTGTTGTTTGAATTAATAATTCCATCATTCTGTGAGCAACCGTGATCTGATTTTATGCTGCACATGGTGAACACCAGGGGACAGTGAAGGGAGCTGGTTATCTTGCTGTAAAGTTGAATAAAATAATATTTCAAACTGATTAGCTGTCAGAAAATGTTAAAAATTATTAGTTATCTTGTTTTGTAGACACACTTTTTGATGAACAGTAGCGGTCAGTGTAGAGCTCACAGACAAACACATTGCATTTCCTGTGACTACTTCATAATAAAAGTCCTGTATCGCAGGTAAAAGCTTTTAATCTAAACATTCAGCAGTAGGAAACGTTTGCATTAGCAATAACTTAATACAGCATTCATCAGCGGGTCATAGGCTCACTAACCATTGTGTTACCTCCTTCAGCAATAAATAGTGACTTAAAAGACATTTATTTAAATGAAAATAGAGATTATCACTTTAAACAGAAATGCTTTTTGCATTCACTAATCGATTCCTCTTGCTCCAAGTTTTTGGATTGTTTCTGTTGCCAGTGAAAATTAGCAGCTCCTGCACAATTCTTTCACAATAAAAGCCTTCCAGCTGCTTAAAAACAGAATCCCTCCCTTTTCTGGAAATCTTTAAATGTGCAACATCTTCTGAAAGTTCAACATTTCATTGGCAAGACTTCAGTGATTAAAAGAGAGATAAAATGAAATTGATTAGAATTAATTAATAAAAGACTTAGTATGTGAATTACAAACACTCTGACCTTTGACCTTAAGATAATTCACTAAGGCTCTGTTGCAATACATCAGTCATGCTATAGTCTCAGGAGAACTCATCGTGTTCTGCATGAGGAGCAAATTCCATGACCTAGCATTCTCAGCCATGCACATGAGTTGCTGTGTTGACAGTGGAAATTAGATGACCTGGATGCAAAACATTTGTTGCCTGCACTTACATTTCAGCTACATTCCTGCGGCCAATCAACTTGTGTCTCCATTGACTTCTCCCATTACTCAACAAGAAACCACGCGTTCGTAACAAATAACAAATTAAACTTGTTAAATTCCTGCCAACTTCTTTGTCTTTTACTGCAATACATCTTAGTTTTCAAAGTAGATATCTGCCATTTCATTTATTACATCAGCTGCATGCAGACATCTGCAGTTACTGCCACCTTAAGGAAAAGGTGCACTCAGTGTTTTAATCACATTCTCACCTCAGCTAACCTGCATTTGATACATTGCTGAATGATTCATTTAATTTCAAAATCAGAGGAAAATACAGAAATACTAAGAGCTTTTGGTGGTTCATTTAGCAGAAAATTACATTCAGCTGTACAGAACAATGCGGCATCATTTGTTATCATCATCAGTGTATGGCTCCAGTTGTATCCTTGATTTAGAAGTTGTTTTGCGTAGAATCTAAATAGACCAGCCTTTGATTTACTAACATTCTTACCTCCTCTATCAGTATTCACGTAGGAGCTATTGTCCACACATGTGGACATTGCATTCCTACTGTAGGAGGCAATATCCACTATGAAATATTGATATTTTTTGTCTGTGCATTTATTTGGTTAAACAAACCATTTCTTTCACAAGGATAAATGACTGTTAACTGACGTTAAATCGTCCTGTAGGACCTGCTGGGGAAAGATATCCTGGAATTCTGCCATCCTGAGGACCAGAGTCACCTGAGAGAAAGTTTCCAACAGGTATGATGAGATAGGCTATGTTCAGACTGCAGGCCAATGTGATTTTTTTGCCCACAAAAAAGCCTTTATCAAACATGTGGCTCTCTTCCTTTTCTACCTCGCTAACATCTGCTCACAATTTCCCTTTCTTATACCTGAAATCCACCGGACCGGGGCTCTCTTCTGAGTTACGTTATGTGGTGTATAACATATGTGCATTTGATGCATAACAGTTTAACATAGCACTGTAGCAGCTGGATAGAGGATTAGTGACCTTTTAAGGGGAGAGCAGAGGTCAGTGGTTATGTGGAGACTCAGACCCTTATATGGTATCTAACAGATACCTAAACAGGTCCTATATAAGCTGTGTTTGATGTACAGAGAGACAGAGTGGCCAACGGGCTGGGTCAGGGACGGGGATGGGGGGGGGGGTTGTGGGGCAGATGCGTTGTACAGTGCCAGAAACCGTAATGAAAAGAACAGAAAGTTGTGACCCGTGAGAGGACGATGAAAAACAGAAGTCTCCCGCGAGCTAACAGGAGCTTTGTTGCTCCTTGTTTACTTCTGTAGCCTGCAACAGCGTGCTGCGTGTGACGTCGTGATATTCTTCTGCGCATGCAGGTCACTTTCAGGCCGCGGACAGTTCACACTGGAGTCTGAGACGGAATTGAGCATTAAGGCCTGCAGTCTGAACGTAGCCATAGACTGTAGCTGTTAATTGGACCTGAAGGTACTTTGCTAATCCCAAATCCTGCTTCGTAGTACAGGCCCCAAGTGTATTTGATCGACCCCAGTATCTGCACTATTTATCAGCAAAACAGCATAATTCGAAACATAGCTTATTGTGTCAAACTCCAAGGCCCGCCACGTCATTTTATGTGGCCCACAAAGCTTAAAAGATTCATGATTGTCCTAAAATAAAAGTCTACGCTGTTTTAAAGTGTACATAAACCATAAACTACATGTCCCACAATGCATGCCGATTTTGTGTTCCACGAAGTGACGGCATCCTGCCACTAGATTGTGGTGTTTCCACACCCGAGTTTAACTGTGGTAGATTTCCAACAAGTGGAAATAGGACGACATGTTTGTGCTTCAAGGAGAAAAACCGGTAGGCTAGGCCTATGTCTTTTGTGTTATGAGGCAGTGTCAGTGATGAAGGAGTAGGCTACAGTAGCCTATACGTCGGCATTTTTCCAGGTAATCAAATTTCTCTCATTACTTGGATGTATGCCCTCTGCGAGGCTGTGTCACATTTGTTATTAGCAGCTCTCATTTATTTGTTTTACCATGGTTCTGCCCCTCTCGACTGTGAAAAAATGAATAGTAAATGTAAAAGCTTATGTTCGATGATATTTGTTATTTACTTGAAAGATTTAATCTTTGATTGAGGGTTTCTAAACCTGATACAGTAATTTATTTGTTACAATAACAGAGAAATGTTCTTACTTATATTTTAACATCTGATTAGGAGGAGTAGTTACGTTTAATCAGTCTTACAGTTACACCAGGCCCTTGAGGGTAACCATAATGCTTATGTGGCCCTTGGTGAACATGAGTTTGACACCCCTGCCCTACTGCATAACTGAACTTAACTAGAGGAACCTTTTCCTTTTTCTCTTCCCCCTCCCTGTCTGTGGGCTCTGCCTAGTGTGTGGAATAAAGAGTTCTCCAAATCTGTGATCAGTTGCTCTGGCCTTACTCAGCAGTTTATTTTAGATCCATTTCAAACTGGGGAGAAGTGCAGTGCTTTCATTACTCAGACTGACAGTCAGCAGAGTGATTTGCTCAGAGAAGGAAGTTCAGGAGCACAGTATTAAGACCAGCAGCCCACCACAGAGAATCCACAATCCATCAGAAACCACAACTATATGACAGCTCAGCTCAACTTGTTTTGTTGTTAAATTGAAATGGAATAAATGGATTCCCCCTATGCTCTTGGCTTAGACTTGATTACATCATAGCCAATTGAATTTTTGACTCTCCTGGTCAACACACGTTTGAAAGAAATGTATAATGGTATGAAAAATTCAGAAAGGTGTTATCACAGTAGTTTCAATCTCAGCTACTCTTTTCACCTCCAGTCCTAGCTGGATAATTAAGACATATTTTCGAAACAGCAGTATTAACCAGTGGTTTTCTTCCCTCTGCAGGTGGTGAAGTTGAAGGGTCAGGTTCTGTCTGTAATGTATCGTTTCCGAATGAAGAACAGGGAGTGGATGCTAATCCGAACCAGCAGCTTCACCTTCCAGAACCCATATTCTGATGAGATAGAGTACATCATCTGCACCAACACCAACGTCAAGTAGGTTCTTCATACTCGCGCGCACACACACACACACACACACACACACACACACACACACACACACACACACACACACACACAGTCTTGTTTCCATTATTTCAGAGGACATTCATTTCGTGCAAACTTACCTTAACACACACACACACACACACCATACACATGTATGGATGAGTTTAACACTAAATTCAGTATATGCTTGGGTTTGCCTTACCAGCAGAGTCAGGAATAATATCCAGACCTTTGAAAAGAAGCACTGTGTGTCTCCAGACTGTTACACCTTGGGTGTTGACAGGTGTGGAGCTATGTCCTAAAGTGAGCTGCTTCTTGTTTGTCCTTGGTGAGTCTTGTACCTTTTTAGGTGTTGGAGCTCAGGCCCCACAGCTCACCTCTGAAATACAAGTATAATCACAAGGCAGCAGACAACTTAAGTTCAAGAACACAGGATAAATAAATAGCAGGCTAGAGTGAGCAGGCCACAGGTGAGCTTGGTAAAGCTTTTAAAGAGTTAAGGTTTACTTTACTGAACAATGTGCCAGAAAATGGCCACTTGAGGTTGGCTTCAAAAGCAAGAATCACCATAGACTCCAGTGAAATATATGTCACCTTACGTTATAAATATATAACGTGAGGTGACATTGTTTGGACAGTAAATGAGATTCCTGTACAGCTTGTGGCATGCAGAGGTGTTTTGCAGTTGGGTGCAGAGGTGTCACTGTTGGGTCAGGCAGGAATTTAGGAAGGGAATTGTTCATATTTTGCATGGGCAAAGCCCTTCATCTGGATGCTGATTAGCATGGATTTAGAGGCTTACAGACTCACTCTGTAAGTAGTGTAGTCAACGTTCCTCAGTCTCCACATGGCAACATTCAATGTCATGTTCCTTCTGCATGAGTTCTCAGCTATCATCATGAGTTAAGGATTGCCGTGAGCTCAACTAATTACCAATGTCAACATTCAGCTAATAGCTTTCAGTCACACGTGTGTCTGTGTTTGTGCGTGCTTGTGTGTATATACATGCATGTTACAGACATGAATGTCTGCCAACAGCTCCCTCAGGCTGAGGTGGCAGCCAGAGTATTAACAGAATATGATAGATTTATGAGTTTGGTGTAAAAAATGGGTCAGAATATCACGAGGCTGAGAAGCAGATGGAAGTGTAGTACTCTCTTTCCATGAGTTTACTAGACAGAGAGCTCCGTGACAATAATAAATAAAGGTGAAAATAATGAATAGTGATAGAAATGCTTTTGCCAAAGAAGTAATGATATTAGAGATGAGGTGTGATCTTGTCCCAGGAATCGTGATCATTTAATTATTGTCAAATATGATGCATATATTAGTTATATAATTTGAGTCATAGTTGTCTGTAGATTGTCTAATTGCATGCAGATTTTGTTGCAGTTGTGGTAAATTCTTTTAAACCATTCTTCTGATATTAAGAACCAATTAGTTTCTTATGAATATGGCTGATAACTGACAATATGCTGCATTTGGCAAATTGTGCCGCGTTCCATCAAAAAACAGCTATAATATCATGTTGTGCATTTATTTTTCTTCTACCTTCCATCTGGTCTTTTCAATTTTCGTTAGAAATGATGTCATTAATCTGCTGTGTTTTGCTTATTTCTATTGTTACATTCATTTTAGATTCAAATGAGTTCAGCCACAGAGAATAGAGCTTCCTGCATGTCCCTTCGCTCTGAAATATTATCAACTGTTGGACCCTACAGCTCAGATAGCATCTTCATTTGAGTTATATCCCTGTTGCTGGCATAACTGACGCCTGCCTCCTTTACTGGCCTGGTGTTGGAACACATTTTGAAAAATAAACACCTGCCTCCATTAAACGGCTGGTCTGGTTTTTATAGAAGTTCTTTGGATGTATCAAACCTCTTAAACCCCGCGTGGTCACCGCTTTAGCTGCTTCTAAGCTGCTTAGATCGTTAATACAAATATTAATATTTAAACGTATACTCAATATGTCATTATGGACATGCTGAACATCGTTAGATCGGTTAGATTCTCCACAAATCAGTCGTTCAGTTCATTCAACAGAAACAACGATGCTCCATTCCACACGCTCCTTCTCCCAGTTCTGCCCTTAGCACTGCTTCTTTGGCTCCAAATCTCAGGAAACGCACCAGGAAATGCTGGTCTGTGTTGCCCCGCTGACCTGCTCTATGGGCACGGTCAATCAAAAGTCCAGACCCATTTCATTATCCAATGCTTCTTCCAGAGATGCCTGCATAAACTTGTCGCCTCCTTTGGCACTCTCCACTACTCCAACTCTACGGACATTATTACAGCGGCTAGCGTAAGTATTTCTTTTCTCCTGAAGTTGGGCGATTTTTTTGGTAGCCGTGTCTACCATGGCACTCAGGCTTTGGTCTTGTGTCATGGTCGAGGGTGCGCAAAGCAGGTGAGAGCCCAAATGCACGACACTGCGAGCAGAGATTCAGTTCCAGGGTTTATTAAACCAAAACACCAGGCAAAACAAAACTCACGGGTCCTGGAAACTGGCAACATCCAACATGGTAGAACAGGTAGAACACACATCATACGACAATGACGGACGGGGACTGAACAGAATAACTGAACATACAGTATCCTAAATACAGAAAATAAGCGTGCGGAAAATCGCAACTTCATATAAAAATGCAACCAGTCCAGAAAATCCTTACACATTACGGTTTGAGAAGTTTAACTCGGCAGACTCAGGAGGGCACAGAGGAGTACACGGCGGCTACCCCAGACCCACCACAGATGGGTACCGCAGCTGAGCTAACAAGCTGATGAATCCAGACAAATCACCCATGTGATTTTCTGGATTTTTGTTTTAGATTCCGTCTCTCACAGTTGAAGTGTACCTATGATAAAAATGACAGACCTCTACATGCTTTGTAAGTAGGAAAACCTGCAAAATCAGCAGTGTATCAAATACTTGTTCTCCCCACTATATAAAGGAGGGGGTACGGTGAACGGTTTCATAGCGGATTCCCCTACGCGGCCATCTTAGTTGCTTGCTCCACCAGAAGTCTGAAAATATTTCTTAAAATAAGTCAGGACGTCCTGTTACCAGGAATCGTAAAGCAAACAAACTTCTGCTGATAAGATTCTACGTGTCTTAAGTGTCAATGATGTTCTTCTGCCTGTACTTCCCCTTGTTCTTCTCCCCTTGTCCTTTTTACTCCACCTGGGTTTATTGTGTCATTGGGTTCAGTGCCTCCTGCTCCAAGAAACACTCATCATCTACGTTTAAATATTTATTTATCATGACAGTTATCTTGTTATATTGGATTTAAAATGGAGGTAGCTTCAATTCAATAACATACTGTATGTGTCTGTTTGTAGTCTGAGCTGCTGATGGTGTATTTGGTGTGTTTTTCAGGCAGCTACAGCAGCAGCAGCAGGCAGAACTGGAGGTTCACCAGAGAGATGGACTGACTGCCTACGATCTTTCCCAGGTAACCCTCTGCTGTAGAGCCACTTCACCACCCCACTTAACTGGTTAAGAAGATCTGTCATTGGATATAATTACTAAATAATATTCAAATTGTATGTGATGTACTGGGCACCTTCATAGTCAGACAGATATGTGTCTTATATTCATAAAAAGCTGTTCATATATTGAATTACCACATATTTATGTATAGCAGCTGTTCATGTAAAGAAATGCAGAGATGCATAAACAGAACACTTGTTTTGTAGTTGTACATGTTTGTTGTGCAATTTATGTGCACATAGATATTCCATCCATTCATCCATCCATCATCAGTGGCTTATCCTGCGTACAGGATAGATAGATATTACAATGCTGGCAAAATATTTCAGTTCCCAGGTTGTAAAAACAAAAATAGAATTGTTATTTAATAACAATCTCTATATGTTTATTCAATCACGAAAGAAGGACTTTTTTGCATGGCTAGTTGGCTAAAAAGCTGACCCTGATGATTGACATGAAAAATATTTGAATGGAATCCTAGCTAATGAGACTATTTTTGTCTGGGTAGGCGTGTGGATAGTTTGTGTTATTTTCTGTGACCTGAGTCAAATAATCTGTAACATCAACCCCCCTTCCTACCCCTCGCCCATCCCCACATTCACCCCTACCCTCAGGTTCCTGTGGCCAGTGTCAGCGGTGGAGTCCATGAGGCAGGGAAGAGCATTGACAAGACAGAAGCCCTCTTCTCCCAGGAGAGAGACCCACGCTTTGCTGAGATGTACACCAGCATCTCTGGCTGTAGGACACACACTCACAAAAACAGACAACATCTGCATACACATCATATGTCCTGACAGTTTCTGATTTAGCTTTCTTTTTAATCAAAGCTGACCCTGGTCTGTGTGTTTGTGTGTGTAGCTGGAGATAAGAAGATGATGGTTCCTTCCTCTACAGCTGGAGGACAGCAGCTCTACTCGCAGAGCTCTCCCTTCCAGCAGGGACACTCTGGAAAAAGCTTCAGGTACATGTCAGTGATCTGTGTTAGTGCATGGAATGCTCAGCACGTTACATGCATAACTCAGCTGGTTAGACCTCAGTGTGTCTCTGGAGAAAAGTGAAGCCTGACTGAGCTTCATATTTCTCACTTTTCTTTTTCTTTGTTTGTGTGTGTGTCTTTGTGCACACAGTTCCTCTGTGATCCATGTCCCTGGTGTGAACGACATCCAGCCATCAGGCTCATCCAATCAGAATCTAGCTCAGATCTCCAGACAGCTCAACCCAGGCCAGGTGGCATGGTCAGGCAACCGACCCCCCTTCTCTGGACAGGTAATATTTTCATACTTTTAAGACCGATGCCGATTTCAATATTTGAGGATTTTAAAATCCAATATGCCAATATATCGGCCGATATTCTTTTTCCCCCTTATTTTAAGAAATGCATAACATAAACAAAGATTAACCTGTGTATTTGTTATGTTACCATACCAAGATACCATGACATAATGCAGTGTGAAAAGAAACTTTTTTATTGTTATAAATAGTACTTTGAACAAAAGTATAACAAAATATGTCAAAGTTTTGATAAATAAGAGTAAAATATATAAAACTACAGATAACATTTTACAAATATCTGATGTTATACATTATGGACTACTATTACTAATGAACATTAAATTAAATAGTGTTTGTATTGTGGGGGCCAGCAAAACAGAAACTATAAAAAATACCAATATCCTACTACTACTACTACTACTGCTACTACTACTGCTACTACTAATAATAATAATATCATATATTAAATCTCATGTCACTGCTATAATATTAATGGTAAACAGGGCTCTCTTGAATAGGCAAAAATTATATATATATTTGTTGTCATGAATTAGTTATTACCTTACATATAATCTGCCACAATTACTACTTTCTACTATGCAGCATATTCACATCTAGTTTATCCCTTTACCAGCACTCTGTTAATTCAATCCAAAGCTACGAGAAACCATTTCCTAACCACCACATGTCTCTAAAACATGTCATCTGTGATGTGACAGTGAGGAAACTCTTCCTTTGAGTTCATCTAATACTACATGACTGTGTAGTCTACAACGAGTCTGCAACTTGAACAGGTCAAATACACATACACACATTTACATTTATTCATTTAGCTGACACTTTTATCCAAAGCGACTTACAATTGCTAAGTATGTCAGAGGTCGCACGCCTAGAGCGTAGGGTCTGTGCAGACGTCCTGGTGCCTCACGTTTTTTATGGCCGACTACAGTACCAGGGCACCAACCGATCTACTGTGCATGTGTGGAACGAATCCGCCAAGCTCACTTCAGAAAGTCGTATAAACAGAAGTAGTCCTCGTCCGCGAGGTCCGCTGCTGTCCGTGTGCGCGGGGAATTGAACCCAGGTCTCTCACCTAAGGCATGTGTCTTATCCACTGCACCATCACCACCACACACACAAGCAGTGTTTGTAACTGATGTAGAACCATTGCCTTCTGTATCAATAATAAAGTCAGCAATTTCCATGGAGGCCAAGATTGCCAAGCTCATTTTATCTGCTCCTCCTGTACCCGATCACAGAACAACAGGAGGACTCGTCTTATTTGCCATGTTTTGTATGTGTGTGTGCGTGTTCCCCAAGCACCCTAATGTGCTAAGCATCTTCCACACACTGGTGCACTTCTCAAAACAATTTACATTTACTCATTTGGCAGAAGAGTTGTTTTGAAAGAATGACAGAAGACTGTGCCACTAAGTCATCATGTTGTTTTTTTAACTATACCAAGACCCAAAATGTATTTTGGTCCGATGTTCTTAAAAACAGCCAGATGCTTGAATGACAGGAGTAAAGTAAAGAAACACAGCTGCAGCCCACACAATAACTCAAACGTCACATGCACATTTTCTTGAACAGACACAGATTGTGTCCTTGTTTTTGTAAATGATATAATTTACCACAACGAGTAGTAATAATAAAGTTGCAAAGTGGCAGGGGCTGCTGGTTCCGGGAGTGTTTTTCTTCATACTGTATTCCAATTTAATGTTTTCATTCAACAGTATCCTCAGTGTTGCTTAACAGAAACAAAGGACTCTCCTGGATGTCAGTCATGTAGGTTTATGTTAGAACCAGTAGCATGACAGCAATTTTTGCATGACAGACAGCTTCAAAATACTATAATACCCATGAGCCTCAGATGAATCATTTCAAATGCTTGTCTCTGCTAACAGTAAAGCCTGAAATTAGCCCTGGATTTTGTTGTACACATTGTAGATTATGCAATACACATTTGCGACTGTCTAATTTCGCCCCATAGCTGCTACCGGTTAGAAAATGATGTTACATGAACACAGTAGCTGGATCAAGCTCATTTGGCAGAGCACATTTTTCAAACATTAAAATTTTATAGTTTGGCCAAGTCATGAAAATAATGTTAATGTGTCACAGTGTCTGATCCTTTTTCAATTTTTTGTACATTTCATTTGTGAGGAAGTCATAAATAATAGTTTCAGGAAAGCTGATTAAAAAGAATGTGCACTGATCTGTGAACCCTGTATCCTGTATGAGACTGAACCTTGAGCTGACAGTACTCAAGGTTGCAACAACCCTGATCTGCTGTATATCTAATCAGTATCTGTGCTCTCCAGTCCAGTAAAGCCCAGTCCAGTCCATTTGGTATTGGTTCTGGTCACAGCTACCAAACCGACCCAGCCTCCTACAGTCCCCTGTCGTCCCCAGCCACTTCCTCCCCCAGCGGCAACGCCTACTCAGGACTGACAAACCGCAGCACAGCTTTTGGTGAGCCCTCATCTTCATCTTTTATCCTCATTTATTACTGGCTGGTCTGTTGAGTAAATCTCTGTGTGTGTGTTTTTTGTCTGCCAACAGAATCTTATCAATCATAAGTAAATCATATCACAGTAAAAGAGAACAGTGTGTGATAGAAGCACAGGTTAGGTTGGGCTTGGCAATAAATAAAGCATGCATATTTCAAGACTTACCACAGGCAGCAAAGAAACTAAAGGGTAGAAAGATAAAATTGTTTCAAGACAGGGGTGAATATTGTTGCAGAAGAGTTTGCATGGTGGAAACTACTAAAGGCAGAAAGTTGCATTGCTTCCTCTAAACAGGCAATATACTTGCAAATGACAAAGTCAGCCAGCTTCCCAGACATATGCCCCTAATTATAAATTCACTAGCCTTTGTGTGTGTGTGTGTGTTGTTAGTCAGGGCAGCTAATCACCTCTGTAGCCTAATAGTCTGTATGTAGACTAACCTGCCAGCTGATTCATGCGGTGTGCTCTCTCGTGATTACTGGAGTTAGAGATGTTTGTGTTTTTTCTAAAGTGCAACACCACAGTCTGGTTTTGAATGTGCTGTGAAGTTATTTTTTACTTTTAGATTAAACAGAACTCATGTTAGATTGTTTGGTTATTTACCTGCAACTCGCACTGATTATGGTAATTGTGGAGTGCTGGATGTGCCGAGGAAAGAAATATATAATAGCTTTTTTCAGATTTTTCAGTGTTCAATAATGATTGATGTTTTTCTCAATTGTTTAGAAACTAACACTGCTTGAGACACAAAGATCACCCCTGTACCATTGCTACTAAAATACATTTCCTGCTTCACACTCACCGACTGATCTTAACTGGACTTGCACAGCTGGTGTCATGGCATAACATTGTCCCTGTATGTGTTTCCAGATGTGTCGGGGGAGAGCAGTCAGAGTGGAGCACAGTTCCAGGGTCGCCCCAGTGAGGTCTGGTCCCAGTGGCAGAACCAGCATCACTCCCAGCAGGCCGGGGAACAGCACACACACCCTAACCCGGGCCAGACAGAAGTTTTCCAGGTAACACACACAGTCCGTCTTTCCAGCTGCTGGCGGCAGACCAGTATACACAGATATGTGATATGTCTGATAAGAGCTGTGTGTCCTCAGCACGCCCCTGACCTTGGATCCCCCTCTCCTGTGTCTCTGCAGGACATGTTACCAATGGCTGGAGATCCTACCCAGGGAACAGCCAACTACAACATCGAGGACTTCGCTGACCTCGGCATGTTCCCACCCTTCTCTGAGTAATTCCCCCCTCTCTCCATCACTCCCCCTTTCAGACCTGGACTGATGTTTGCACTCATCTCTCATGTTGTCTCATTTTTCTCTATTGCTGGATCACCAACACACAGCTGATGTGCGGTACAGTGTATGTCTAGGTACACTTGTTATTCGCACACATACACACACACAGTGCACTAATGTTTGGGCTCCAAGGCCTGCAGTATGTCTGTGAACATAAATGTACCTCATGGCTGCAAAGAGCAACCCTGCTCAGAGGGAAGGAACATCAGTCAACCTGTATCAGCTGTCCGTCGTCGCAATGATGGACGTCGTCTCAAGCTCTTTGAACAAATGGTGGAGTCATCATCAGCAACAAATGGTGGAGTCATCATCTGTCTGTCAGGTGATGATAGCTGGATTTGTGATTTGAGACTAGTACCAGTATTATTATATTAAGATTTTACACTTCCTCTCTTTCAGATTTGACAAAGCAAAACTAAAGGTTTTCACCAAAAATCTACATCCACATGATATCATATATATGTCTGCAATTATTATATTTCATAAGCCACACAGAACAGAACTGCAAATGTGTGCATTGCTGTCTGCCAGAATATATGCTTGTTTTCAGGATGGAATATTTACGTCTGAGTAAAAAACTGAGCAAAACATTTCCTACTCTCATCCACAAAATGAGAGGAACTGCCATGTAGTAAGTGTGATTGCTAGCATGTTTCAACTACAGTTATTACCATAATGCATTTCATGTCACTTCTGACACTAGTCGTATTATTCTCTAAACAGGGGTTACACAAAGTAGTCTGAGGATAAGGACAAGCCCAGTTTGACTCTGCCAGCACGTCTGTTGGTAGGATTATTTTAGTTGATGTTTCTGAACAACTGAAACATGTTGCAGTAAATTTGACCTAATTTTTTTTTATTGACTTAACAAGAACCATGTTAGTAGATCATTTTCAGTCCTAGTCACAGTGTTAATGTAGTGTTCTACTGCACAGTATCTTCACTTTTCATTTAACTGTAAAAAGACACAGTAACACCTTAAAGCAACATTATGTAAGATGTTTTGTGTGATTTTGGCATCCTACTGTTTCACAGTGTAATTCAGTACAGTCTAAACAAGGACAACTGTACATGTTCATTTGATTTGATTACATTATGATGAAAAACTAGCAAGTTGACAACTTTGCTTACAGGAAAACAGCAATATTATACAGAAATACAACAGAATTTACTAGTCCAACAGAAAGAAAGCCAATTCAGAGGCGTCTGGCCTGCAGCAGTATTTTTCATAAAGCTCTCGCCAATTCTGCATCCTCTGGCTTGGTCACTCACTTTTTCTGTTAGCTCCCTCCATCAACGTCCACTTCAGTCTCTTCACCTCTGCCATTTGCTTACGCAGTGTCCGTATAGGCTGCTGAGCGCAGTTATATTGCTGCTTGCCTTGTTCCGGCTCTCCACCAGCATAATGTTGCTTAAAACTGGCAAGTTAGCCAACAAAGCTAGACAGCAACCGACGCAAGAGCACTTACAGTAATTTTATTGATGTCTGAGTGTGTTATCTCGTAAGTTTGCTAACATCAGCTCTAGATTTATACCTAGCGGGTAAACCTCTGTCTGTGAAAACTCTGGCTGTTTTTGCTCGAGTCGAAAACTCTGCTAATACATGCAAACATCAAGCAAGCGCAACAACACAGCAAGCAGCTGATAAGTTATTACTGACTGGTCAACAGCTCGGCATCTGTCCTGCATCCTTTCAGCTCTTTTAGCTCAACAAGTAAAAACTAGTCTGATATTTACTCTTGTCCGGTCACTTTACAGTCACTCTCTCTTTTTCTCTTCCTCGCTTCCTTCAAAGTCTTTTTTGGTCTCTTCACAGCCTCGATCCGTTTAGCCGATGGGATGATGCAGTAGTCCCAACATATAAGTGGGCTCTGTATTACTGTTGCATGGCGCATGTCTCTGGGATTCCCTCTGAAACTTCCCACTAGTGTTTTTCCAACTTTGATTCAATACCTTGAAAAATATTGATGTTTGATAAACCTTTATTAAATGACTGAATTTAATTACAAAATCAATTAATCTTAGAAATTAGGTGAAGTTACTAATACTGTGTGTTAAGTAGAACAGCATCAGTTAATTTATGTGACCTTATTCCAAATCAAATGCAGCAACCACGGACCATCACTAAAGCTACCCAAAAAGAGTAAAGTCACAGCAAACCAAAATCATAGGTACCATTTACACTGGGGACACTATGTATTCTGAATTGTCACCTGCCACCTGAATTTTGCGTTTCCCTTTATATACATAAAAACATTTCCACCATAAATTGGTGCAGAAACGAATACAGGAAATTAAGTGTGTAATGCTCAAAATTTGCACCGTACAGTTTCTTTTATTGCATTTAAATCATCTTACCTATTTTGTTATTTGGCTCAGGACTGAGTGTAATGTTCTCTGAAAAATGTGATGGTTATAAATACACTATTAAATTAAACTATTAAACAACTGTGTTGCACTTCCTCTATAGATATAAAGATTTAAAACATTTATATTCATATTATATAATTTACATTATCCAAATATCAGCAGTGTCGATGAGTAGTACTACTAGCCAATCACAGCACAGCAAGGCAGGCAGGCAGAAAGACTTGACGCACTCACAGCTAGAATCCAATCACAACATACATAAGGAAAAAAATAATGTGTCCAAAAGGCAGAAAAAAACGTGAATCAACCCAAACGAAGGAGTGACGAGAAGATGGTACTATGAGTGAGAGGAGGTGGGGCTACGTGAGCGCTGCAGCGGTGTGTGCGTCAGGTAGCTGTCGGGAGAAGAGAAGTGCGTTTTCAGTATTGATACTGTGGAAAATAAGTATTAAAACCCTTAAAAATTCATAATCAATATGTTTCATAAAATCGATAATTTTTGACAACACTGCTTCCCACTCTTTTAACACATATCCAGGCTGCAAACAATAATGAAAGAAATAACATAATATATAATAATAACAAGTGATAGTCCATCCTACATTCTGTGTTTACCCCAAAGGCCTCTGATATAATATACAGTTTTTTTAACATGAAGGAAAAACAATACACAAAAAGATGTTCATCACATCAGCAGTAGTACATTAAGGTAGTATTGGTGACCATTACAAGTGAAGCATCAAAATGATTTAGAAACTGTTATTTTAAATAATGTATAAAAATACAACATAATGTTGCTTTAATCATTACTTATCTGTTGAGGATTTTATGCCGGTATTACTCCAGAAATGTCTGCCCGGAATTGTCAGAGTTCTTGTTCAACTGTGATGTTGACTGAGGGGGGGAATACTTTCAAAACATTGTCTGGCTCATACTTCAAAAGTATGATTATATTGTGGCGTGAGCACACAAGTTAATATAGGTCACCCAGTTCATACAGCAGTGTGGCAGTAAGACACTGGGTCATACATTTGACCTGCTGGTGTCACATGTGACACAGAGGCTGCATTATTAGGGTACACCAGTGGATGTTATCAGTGCCAAATTAAGAACAAGTCAGTGTGCTTTATACATGTTCATGTGCACATAATTCCACAGTGACTGATAGAAAACAGAACAAAGTGGACACACAGCAATGTAATGTTTAGCTCATGTTTGCTTAGTTCTGTGTTTCTTTTCTTTTCTTTTTGCTGGCCCCTGGTTTCCGTCCAGACAGGATATCAGTCTGTACTGATAGTAAGACCAATAGGACCAATAGTAGTTGACCACCTCCACCTAGTGCGGCCCTCACTCTCTCCATCCATCACCACTTATTATGTAACCTATATGTAGTGATGTCCACAACTCTAAAGAAGAACCTGATGCGAGTGTAGTATGATTCTGTGTATAAATGAAAAAAAAAACTAATTGCAGGCAGTTGCTAAGCTAAGGCTTAAAGTGCACTTCATGAAGATAACTGCTAATCTCACCAGCCTGCTTTAAAAGGGAAAAACCGCCATACTGTCCAAGCAAAGTGCAGTATTTACAAGTGTATTTGGTGTTCTTCAGCTCTGGCTACTTGACTTTATTACTTTATAATCTTTTCAACTATTAAGAGACTAAATAATACTTTCTAGCGGGGGAGCTTTTACATGATAGATTGTATAATGTCTCTGACAGACGGATGTGAGAACCTTGAACAGACATCGAGTCCTTTTGCTAAAGATCGCAAATTGATGTTTTTTTTGTAAATAATGTGATTTTTTTGTCGACTCGTGTTACTTTCACACAGTACATGTTTTTTGTGTAGGTTTTAATGATATTGTGCGCAATGTGAGTACATATTTAACTATTGGTACTTAGTTAGTCTGTTAATTGTACATTGAGTTTTAGACCTGTATAAATTGTGAAAATGTGACCCATTATTTTTGTGTAACAAATTGTGCTTGTGACAATAAATTCTTATTGGTTATGTGGCTTCCATTCAAAGTTGTTGTCTTCCATTATTCAGGCATGCATTCACATTCAGAACTGAGTTTTTGAAGGGCAAAATCCTTCATTTTGCCTTTTTTTGTATTAAAGAAAAAATTGTCAAAGTATAATTTTCTCAGCCATAACCCATATTTTGGTCTGAAGTGTGGAAACAGGATTTACATGGTTGTGCACTACAGACTGAAAACCACATTGTGAGGTAATGGCGACACTGGAAGTTCTCAATATGATTCAAGGTGAGGCAAGGATGGGGGCCAGGACATTATTTGGGAATCTTTGAGGCCCTTGTTAGCTTGCCAAGCAGTGGAGTGCTTGGATGCATGTGATGGATCTTTGTCCTGCATAAAGATCATGGCCTTCTTGAAAACTGAGGACTTCTGTCTGTCCCACTGCTTGAAGAAAGTATCCTTCAGAATCTGGCAGTAGGTTTGGGAGTGGAGTTCCAGTCCATACTCAACCTGAAAAGGTCCAACTAGCTCATCCTTAATAATAACAGCCCATACCATGGTGGTGTCTTAATCTGATCCAGCCACAGGCCCGTCCATCTGGTCCATCAAGAGTCACTCTCATTTCATCTGTCCACAAAACCTTTGAAAAATCTGTCTTCAGGTATTTCTTTGCCCAGTCTTGACGCTTCAACTTGAGAATCTTGTTCAGTGGTGGTCGTGTTTCAGCCTTCCTGACCTCGGCCGTGTCTCTGAGCACTTGGCACCTTGTACTTCTGGACACTCCAGGTAGGTTGCAGTTCTGGATTATGGTGGCACTGGAGGATAATGGGTTCCTGGTAGCTTCACTTTTAATTCTACTCGAGTCTTTTGCAGTTAATTTGTCTTTTCTTTTCCATGAGCTTTTTGTGACTATTAGCAAGTTTGATTGTCCGGTGGCCCCGCCTCAAAGGTTTAGCTATTTCAAGAGTGTTGCGTCAGCCTCAAAGGCATTTTACAATTTTTGACTTTTCGGTGTCAGTTAAATCTTTTTTTTGGACCATTCTACCTGAAATAATGATAATGCCTAATAGTAGGTGCACTGATATCATATTGTTAACAGCAGCAAGGAGAATGGTTTTTACAAAGCATATAGCCTAGGCCTAACGTTTCGTAACTAATAACTAATTAAATAAAAAAATAAAGCAAGTAAATCCCCACTTTTGAACAGCTGTTTTTTCTGTAAATGTAGCCTCTTTACAAGAGCCACCACTCTCTCCCGACGAGTCCAAGCATCAGTGACAGCAGCTGCTGGACTATCTATCTGTAAGTTTCACGTTGCTGTGCTGCTTCAGCAGATACTTCAATAAATCAGATGTAGAAATGTTCGCACTGAAAGCTTTTTGCTGGTCGCACAGAGTTTATAATAGACGACAATGCTCTTTGCATCTTAGAGCAAAAAGTGGAAAGAACGCCTCTCTCCCTCGTTCTCCATTCTTCCTTTAGTTTTTGGCTATAAGTGACATGAACAACAAAGTTTGGTGCAGTCGTGGATTCACGTCAAGGATGCTGCATTAGTAACTTTAATAATATTACTATTACTTATTTAGAAAAGCAATTAGTTATACTACTAGTTACTGGGTAAAGTCATATTATTACAGTAACGCGTTACTGCCTAACACTGACCAGAACAGAGCCACCATCACTCAACAGGGGAGGAGTGCTACAGCACTACTAATCACCTACTACACTCACATTTGGCCTTGTGACAAAGCCAATGACGGTCGTTGACTTGGACAGGAGCACTAATGAACCAAGTGGTATCCATCACCTTGATAACGACCCCACAGAGGTTTTCATTTTATTATGGTGCTTTGATAGCAGCAAAAAATATAAATAAATAAATAAATAATAGCGGTGCTGAAATAGATCTCAGTCATGACCATAACAGTTACTCACAAAATCACTTCCTCTTTAGTGGTTTTAGCTTGTTTACTGTAATGTAGTACTGGAGTTGAACTAAGCTTTTACTTTGAAAAATTCTGAATGACATTAAAAGAGTCTGTAGCCTGCTTGACACACCTCTGAAAGAACCCTCAGAAAACGTAATTCCCCTAAATATCGCCACCACAGTTGCTTTTAACTCCTGTGTTACATTCAGTAACAGTCCCAGCAGTTATTGGTACATTCAAAAAGATCTGTTGTGTCTGTATTTCTTTATTCTTTCGCCAAATCATCTAAGTACAGAATAGACCATCTGCTTTATGTTTACACCGTCGTTTTAATATACACAGGGATCAACTCTTTAGCAACTCCGTAGCTAAAACACTGGTGTGGACGGCGATCGTATTGGTTTTGGGATGGGGCCTAAATAGCTGGGATTCCCTGCCAGTCTGAAGAAGACTGAGGCGAAACATCTTTGTATGTAGTAAGTATCGATTTTAACCTTAAAAAAATTATGACCAGGAAAACAGAGAATTTCCCTGAATATTTATGCAACTATGGGTCTTTAAAGGGTGGGACAAGCAGCTCATTCACCTCTGCCAAATTTGGAGATTGCTTTTTATTAAGGGAAATCAGTGTGGGATGTGTGCGTACACTGTATATCATAAATCAGAATATTTTTGTGCGTAAGCACTTTGTGTATTGTTCATACGCAACCTTTTGACGTGAATCTTCTGCACAGTTTTATAAATGATGCCCCTGGTCTCCAGAGGCCCTAGGGTCAGACATATTGCATCCAGTCACATATACATGAAATATAAAGGGTGGATGGAGCTGGGTGAAATAAAAGTTGAGTGTTGAGTGTGTAAAAGCAGGTAAACAAGCAGCAGTCTTGATGGGCACCATGGGTTGTTTTTTTTCTCTGTGGTTTGAATGCTGTTGTCACTGTGTTCAGAGGAGATTCACAGCAGCATGATTTAAGATGGACCTGTCAGCATGGAGACGCACAGACTGCAGACAAGCATGCAGCTATGCTCCACCAACCACAATGAACACACACTGCATAATATCTCAGTGGCTTATGCAAATTGAACACTATCTCAGACATACACACACACGCACACTGATATGCACAGCACAGCAGTGTCTCGGTGATGGTTTCAGTGCCTGAGGCGCTGTAAAGAGACCAGATGCAATTTGAATACTATTTACAGCACTTGAGTTGAGAGTTTTTCAAATCAAACACCATCTCGACAATTAACAGCTAATGGCAATCAGGCAGGAGATGTGGAGTGGAGACAGACGAAGCAGCATGTAGATGCAGAATAAAGACATCCTGAGAATTAAGTGTTGCTTTCTCTCTCCCTGTGAATCATGCATGCTGCACTGCAAAGGAAATGTCAGAGGGGAATTTAAGGGGCTAATTGGAGTGCATGTCATGTCAGGAAGGAATGTGGAAAACTTTCTTTTCAAATCACCTACCAGTTTGTTCAAGAATTGAGACTGAAGAAATGTGTTAAAGTGCCAAGAAGGAGAGGTGTCAAGAACTGCCAATTTGTGTTTATGAGCAAAACAGATTTGGCATTACATACATACTTGATAGTCTTAAGAAAGGTTTTCATGGCTTATGCAGTGCTGATATAGGTTGAGTGGAAACATGAAATGCATCAAGACATTTAAAGTATAAGCAATGTTCTGTTGCTGTTCAGGGGAAAACCAAAATTAAGAATCAACATCCAGCGCCTGCTCAGACATAGTTTTATCTTTTTGTCCAGTCAGAGCTGTTTGTCTTCCAGACAATGACGGACTGACCATCAGGGCCACAAAGTTTTTCCAGTGGGCCGCTAAACAATTGTGGCAGATGCAAGCAAAATATACATGTTAATAAATAACCCCAGTCCCATACTTCCATAGACTTATGTTGTAATCAGAAAAGGTGGAAGAAATGCGTGACGTGCAGCAACCAATAGTTCCAAACGCTGCATAGTTCCAGCATTAAACCCCTTCATCTTCAGTGTATCCCAAACATGTTTGCTGGTAAATTGAGGCAGACTTCATCAATACATTCAACTGTGTTATGTAGCCAGCTTTAGTTTATGTTTATCAATTATATGATTATAATTGACCCTTTGCTAAGCCCCACCCCCCTTAGTTACTGTAGCCACTGTCTATTTTTGCACTCCCCGGAGAAATATTGTATACACCACTAGTGCCTTGAGAGGCGATAGTGAGTCACTATCCAGTCCAGTCATCAGTCCAACATGAGAGGATGAAGAATTAGAGCTGCTTGTCAATCAATGCTGCTGCATGAGCTGCTATCTCCCATTCTCTCTCTCTCCTTCTATCTGTCTCCCTGTCCTTCTCAATTCAATTCAATTCAATTCAATTTTATTTATATAGTGCCAAATCACAACAACAGTTATCTCTGAGCGCTTTTCATAAAAGAGCTGGTCTAGACCGTACTCTGTGATGATATTTACAGAAGCCCAAGAATTCCCACCAAGAGCAGCACTAGGCAACAGAGGCAAGGAAAAACTTCCTTTTAAAGAGGTGGTATTATGCTCAGTTTCAGGTTCAAAACCTTGATTAGGGGTTGTACCAGAACAGGTTTACATGGTTTAATTTTCAAAAAACACCATATTTTTGTCATACTGCACATTGCTGCAGCTCCTCTTTTCACCCTGTGTTGTACGCTCCGCTCTTGAGCTACAGAGTGATGCATCTTACTTGTACAAAATCTTTGTTGGGAGTTGCACATGCGCAGTTTCCAGGTAAGGACTACTAGCCAATCAGAAGCCGCTTCAGACTACGACGGTAATAGCAGATGGTATAAGTTACTCACAAGTCCACAACCACACAACATCATTGTTCCACATCTTACCATAAACCAAAATCACCATATTTCAACTTAATTTTACATAAAAATTGGCCAAACAATTTGAACGTTTGCTCAGTAGCACATCAGGTGTAACATTAGCATTATAGTTATAACTTTAGCTGTGTTAGCCAACGTTTACAACAACTCCGCACTTTAACAGTCTGTGAAGTTCCATTGCCGTGTTTATTTTAAATATAATTCACAACCAATAAAGCAATCTTACAGGTTGCGATTGTGAATTTCCAGG